CCGCGACGCCCCGCTAGGCCGGGTCGGGCACCGTAATGATTTACGCGCCCTTAAAACATTTATTGGCGGCTCCGGAGCTCGTTGGGGCCTGATTTTCGTCCGCCCGCTCCCCAACGCAACGCCGCGACACCCGAAAGCCGTTCTGACCCCGCAAGAAAAACTAGATCCCTCGATCTCCGGATAGCGTATTTCACGATGAATACGCACACCTTTTGAGATTTTCGCGTGGCGTAATTTCCGATGTCTTAGCTGGATGACAACGAAATTTGAGGTGATGGGGCCACGCAGCAGCCGCTCGGCTGTTTTAAGAATGGGCAAGCTCGTCCGGGTAAGTACCACGACCTCACAGAAGACCGGCGTCAAGTGGAAGTATAATACTTTCGCGTTTCGTCTGGTGAGCAAGTAAGCCGGCTGGTGAGCCTGGAGACTAATTTTAAAAAGGTTGTCAACGCATCAGCAGCCAGCGGGTGTAGCAGATGCCCATGGGTGGTATTCACTAAACATCAGGTGAACCGCCTGCTCGCTTGGCAACTTTTCACAAAAAGAAATTATCGCTCCTATTGATATTCATGTGACAAACTAGTCGGTCAGCTGGTACGTTGACGCGAATCCAAATCATATTCGAAATGTCCTAATTGTGGTAGGGCCACGCAACAGTCCTCGCTGTTGCACGATTGGGCAGGTCCGTCCGGGCAAGACCTCACTGAAGGCCGGCGTGGACTGGAGTGGAAACGTTATACTTCTGCGTATCGTCGGGTGAGTTATGTAACCGGGAACCATTTTATTATAAAGTGGCAACGCATCTGCAACCCTACGGGTGTTGCAAATGTTAATGGGCGGCGGTTATCACTTAACATCAGGCGTGGCACCTTCTCACATAAAAAAAGATCACAGACGCAAAACATTCGCCTGCTCTTCCGATTAGAATAGGCTCTTCCGGGCTGTCTCTAAGTCGTATTTTATTTCTATTCTACGCAACGAGAATTCGCGAGATAAAGTTTAATAACATACATGACGCATGTCCATACTGCGTGACGTTTAAAAATTGTTCCGCTTTACGTTATGTGACATATATAAGTGAATGTGCCGGATAATGTAGAACGTATGATACGGAATGAGACAGTAGTCCACAGAATTACACAAATTGGTGTAGTTTGAGTGCCTCAGTTTCGGTGCGCTAGTTTCATATCTATTGTATTTTTTTATGCGAAAAGTTGCCAAACGAGCAGACGGGTCACCTGATGTTAAGTGAATACCGCCGCCTATGGACATTTGCTACACCCGAGGGTTACAGATGCGTTGACAACGTTTTGAAAATTGGGCTCCGGCCGCCTCACTCACCGGACGAAACGCGAAAGTATTTGTCATACTTCCACTTTACGCCGGTCTTCTGTGAGGTCGTGGTACTTACCCGGACGGGCCTGCCCATTCGTGCAACAGCCGGGGCTGCTGCGTGGCCCTACCACCGTTAAATCATTGTATGTATATAATATCATTGTATAAAGCACACGGATTCGCCTGGACACGCGGTGCCATTCTTTACAACGGGACCCGCCAGAATATCTCATTCCATTGTCCGAGTAACGTAAAGGACCCCCTTAAGCTGGCGTCATTGTCGTCCCTAACGACCTCTGAGAAGGGTCCAGGGTAGTGCGGCCGAAGAAATCAATAGTCACACAAAGTGCAAGCAATAAACCGCTGTAAGGCGCACATAACAAAGATCACCATACGACTGAAAAGACGTTAGAAATTGTTTATGATATCAAAAAGTGCGTGTATAAATCTATTACGTTCGAAAATCTCTGAAGATAGACCGTTCACGGATTTTGACGCGTTTAATTCGTTTATAAGTTCACGACATTTCGGACACAACGGTAAGCGCGATCGAGACACTGTCCCATACTGAATGCATTAAAGGGATAGGATTAAAACCAGTTATGTTAGGTCGTACACGTAGTTTTACGTTTAACCAAACAAGTTAAAAGTCGTTGTTCGTGCACTTTCGAATTTCGATTGTAGTCGCTGGCACTTCTCAAGTGTACACGTCACGAAATTACCAAATTAATAATTTAAAATTAAATATTCAATTGAAAAAACCGGCCAAGCGCGAGTCGGACTCGCGCACGAAGAGTTCCGTACCATTATCTATAAAAACTGAAAAAAGTCATCTCTATATGGGAGCCGCACTTAATTTTTTTTTTTGTTATTTTAGTATTTGCTATCGCGGCAACAGAAATACATCAACTGTGAAAATTTCAGCGGTCTAACTATCATGGTTCATAAGATAAAGCATGGTGACGGACAGACGGACAGACATCGGGATCTTAGTAATAGGATCCCGTTTAACCCTTTGGGTATGGAACCCTAAAGAAACTATCTCTAAGGTCAAGTTCTTTTTTCTTTTAACAAGTAGTCATTAAACCAACTTCGTGTTAAACCCATTCGTCGGGAAAATACTTAAAGAGAAATATCGAAGCATACTGTACTTGATGACTCCGTGGCACAGTTGCCAAGGTATTGGCTTCGGCGTCGGGGATCGTGGGTTCGATTCCCACACGGGACAACTATTTGTGTGACCCACAGGTAGTTGTTTCACATCTGGGTGTTTGTCCGCGTGAAATCTATGTTTGTAAAACGTCCCTACAACACAGAATAATGTTATCCTAAAGTAAGGGCAATGTTTTTCAAAAATAATAAAACAAATAAAAACAATAAAACTATAAGGTAAATCTAAGGCGGAAAATCACTCACGCAGCAAACCCTGACATGATACATTCGAACTTTTACCGAGAAATGTTTGCACGTTTGAGGAGGTACTTTGTGAATTAGAAGTTATTATACATTTATTGAGTGTATGATAAATATTTGGGTTTGTACTTATTTAAAAACCTTACGCCGGGTTTCTGAAACACTGATCATCATAGAGATCAACTAATCAGCTGTCAAATGGCTTGTCAAATGTCATTTGAGTTGTCAAAAGGGTTGTTAAACCCTTTGAATCGATCATTCTGATCATTAAGGGCGTTAGAACAGCGTCTGGCTCACTTTTACTCAATGAGTTTAAATCCCTAGGTCGGCACCAATGAATTTATTTATTGCAATTTTAAGTGCTGACTTATCACGTGTCCAGCGGTGAAGGAATCGAAAAGAAAGTCACATATTTCCTTAATAATAATAGAAAAAAATTCGCTACGCCCTAATACCCTCTGCGAAGACGAAACGAGGACCTTTGCCCAGCAGTGGGATGTCCCACTCGTAAAAGTAAAGCTAGGTAAAGTAACAGCCTACATATGTATGGATACCCTTAGCAACTTTCATTAGTGTGCTTATGTATTGATTGTTAAAAACAGATACCTATATCATAGCAAAACTAAATGAACTAAAAATAAAAGGGTCTTCTTCATATAATGAATTTTCGTGTGGGTTCGAGAGCGAAGCAAGTCTAATATTGTAATCGCGCCTACTAGGATAACATGAAATAGAGTTGTTTAAAGATAATCAACGAGCGAGGGTTAACGTTTTATGTCAATGTAAAATTTGTGAAGTTACTATGGGATTTAAAACAGAACATGGGACTGCATCTATGGAAAGCTCGTTTCTCAAGGAGTTTGTAAAGTTCTAATTTAGCCACAGTTTTCTCAAAATTAACTCGTCCAAATACACTTCTAATCAAATAATACGAGCGAGTGACAGGCACTAAGCTTATCGCCCCCCGTGAGGTAAACCTTATTCGTATAATTCCCCTTATTGCTTCAATATATTTCTACTAGATGTCGCTGCTCTTTGTGCTTAAGTATTACATATTACATACAAGTCTAATAACTAATGTTATATATCTATCCTCAGCGGTACGCGGAGATTCGACATAACAAATATTAGTGAAACTTTTTAAAAAAAAAAGATTTATAAATTCCAAAAAGCACGTTATGATCGACTTAATAAGTAGATGTCCCAACTCCCAATGCACTAGGCAATAGTTCGTTAAACGTAATTAAATTTTGCGGGTTCAATTCCAGTGGCTTGTTACATACATACACTATACAGTTGTCCGTTTTATGGCTCGCACCATTCTAAAAATAACGCCTTCGCCAATGATTTCACTCTACACGGACACACGATTTTGACAGTTTCTATTTTGTTTTCTTGTACTAAAGATGACACGTGTTTAGCAAACCTGAAACGATCATTTGACACTTTAACTTAAGAACCGACCTGGCTCGCTAGGGTTTATTAAACAGAGGTTATTAAGGGCCGTTTTGCATTCGTGTAACGTGGGATATTGGGTCAAGGGAAGTGCGCCCAATTTCTGGTTGGTACGCGGGTTGTTAGGGGGCCAAAACTAAATTCAATTGTCAATTTACTGATGTAGTGTCGTGTCTAAAATGTATATTCGGGTGTTTTGCGCTGTTTGTGCTGTTTTTGTATGATTTAACGATGTGATTTTCTACTGATTTTGCATGATTGCGAAGCTATTTAGTACAAAGAATTTAGTTAAACTACGCGCTGCTGCACGACAAAAACTTTCAAAATTTTTTTAGCTTAATTAGGTATATATACTAAATGTTTTTATATCAACAGGAAGACAAGATCATCATTAAAAATGTATCGAAAGTGCACGAAAGAAAAGTTTAACATCAGGATCTCCAAACGAAACGCATTAGATTAAGTTTTTGGTCCAGACTGAATAATTCGTTACTTAATACGTACGGCACTATGAAACATATATTGTGATTAGCGTCGTTCCTAGAAAAACATTTACTGGAAACATCAAAAATAACCGTCAACCGTCGTCCCATACGTTTACGTCAAATAATGTACGCACTGAGGATTTTCGAGAAAAACTTCCTAACGTGAATAACCCAGCGTTACGAAACACCGCAAGCGTACACGGGACCCGTATCAGCGGCGACGGGACCCGAATCCCGCCCCGGAACCCGCGCCCGCCGGCTTGATCCCTAAGCCAGTGGGGTCGACGCTCCGGCCCCCCGTCCGCCCCGCTACCAGGCGAGCATAAGCGCGGAGAGTTTCAACGGAATTAGTGGCGCGCCCGCCTGCAGGGCGCCGCGGTATTCACCGCACGCGTACCAGGAGCCGAGGAGGTGCGCCGCCCACCTCCACGTATTAGCGCCTAGCACCCGCGCCCCGAGGTGTCTGCACGCAACGCGAAAACACAGCTCAGCCGACCGAAAATGATTTCCAACTCCGCCGGCTGGGGGCTTCCCTTTCGACGCCCGCCAGCTTACAAACCAACGCGAACGCACGGCGAAAGCGATCCCCTTTTGCCGTGCCGCGAACATCCAGAAATGTCCCTTTTTTCTCGTCTTTTAGACGACTTAAAATGGCGAAGGCATGCAACAAGTAATGCGTGACAGCAGACAAGCAATAAGGAAATAGACAGTAATTAAATCGAAAATATTCAATTAGTACAACCGACATCACATCACCAAAAACAGATAAACTCTTACGAGGAATAAAAGTGTTCTTAATTTGAACAAACAAAACCGCTTAACGACACGTTCCAAATTCAAATCGCGGATGAAGTCGCCGCGCTTAATCGCACGTTAATTAATTTGGCGGGAATTAAAATCGTCATCGCCGCCATTACTCGACCGCGCAAACGATCCCGCAAATAGAGATGGGGTCCAAAAGACCCTCGTGTTTATAAAACGTCGAATCGATAGGCGAGGGGTCGAAACTTAATTATGTCACGGTTCAAGGTCGGGTGGGATGCATTCGGCAAATCCGTAAACGACAATTGTTGTACTCCGTGAACGAAAAAGGAACATAAATAAATTTATATTCTTTAACCTACCATGTATTGAAACAATCAAATGACGTAGTACAATTTTTGTCAATGCATAAAAAATCGTACCAAATTTATATTTGTACCAAAGTAAAGTACAAATTATGTTAATTATTATTTTCGCAGTCGTATCATGAAACATACAAATAGAGTCATGATAAATAAGTAAAAACGCCCTAATCAATTTTCTAGAGATTAAAATTTGATGTATTAAAATATCGTCGATATCTGAAATCATATAAAACACAACTGAGAATATTTAAACTTGCTTATCTGACATTTCGATTTGCGAATATTAACATGCGAAAACTTTAAGCGCTGGATCTGTGAAGGATAGTCTGAAGAATAAAGTTTCTTTTAAATCTCAACAGCCTCACTAATCATCAATTAGTCAATTGTTTGGTCACAAAACGCAATCTCCTAAAGAGAATTTTACAAATTATTAAAAAGTTTAACGGATTAACTATAACGAATTAAAATCAAATTTAAACGCTAAGAAATCCATTAATTTGTTTTATTATGAAATCGTTACGGATATATGTCGGTAGAATTCGTATCTCTACCGACCCCGCCTCAATAGACAGGCCGTGAGAGCGGAGGTTAATCAAATCGAACTCATCCGACACGTAGCAACGAAGCGAAATTCTACGCCGGGTACGTGGTAAACAATAAATAAACCGGCCAAATCGTATAGGCCTCGGCGGCTCCACTCCGCTAATCAGGAATATACCGACGCATGGGATTTATGATAATGAGTTGTATCATAACGGTCCCACGGTCGACGCCACGCCAAGGACTTGAACGATCACGCACACGTGCGCATACTTTACTACAGCGTTCGTGTTCACACAAATGTACGCTCACACACACTCACATCAGTAAACGCACGCATAGTCATGTACACTCGCGTACGCTACCACTAGAGTAATTTTACGTGTAATCACTAGCGAAAACGCATATAAACTATCGTAAAGTCGCGTACTATCATATACAATCAAGTAGACTAATCTCTCTAGTACACTCGCGTACTGCAACGCGTGCACAACAAACCCGGTTCACACTCTCGTACAATCGGGTACAGCCAAAAACTATCGTGCGATGATTTGACGATTACTATCGCGTACAATCTCGAGCGCTGTACACGCACACACTCACACACTCATCAGCGTACGTAACGCACATCCAGAGCAAAACAAACTCCTAATCTGTAACATCAAAGCGGTCGCACGAGCAACGAGTGCCGGCCGACGAATAAAATAGGCTGTTGTGTTATTAACAGTCCCTACCCTAGGACTGAGGGTGGATGTGTTGCTGCTTAGCGACTGGATGTGGCTCGATTCCAAACAACACACAATAAACAGGGATTAGATATGGAAAATATTGTCACGTAAAACTGAGAAGCGTCCAATGTTTCCATGTATGAACATTTATCAATACATACAGATAAATAAAATTGTAGTGTCTGTTTGTAATATTAAAATAACCGCTTTTTACTAAATACATATGGATGTATACACGGTACTTATACCAAAATAACATTTTTTACAATTTTTGTCTGTCTGTCTGTTTGTTCCGGCTAATCTCTAAAACGGCTGGACCAATTTAGACAGGACTAAAAGTTTGGCAGATAGCTGATGTCATAAGGAGTAACTTAAGCTACTTTTATTTTTGAAATTTTATTTATTTTAAATTGCACGCGGACGAAGTCGCGGGGCACAACTAGTTCTATAATAACATTACAATCTCACTTTTAAACATTTTACGTTTCCCCGCTATTAAGCTACTATCTATTGTAGTCGTAATATCGCATATTGTAATATGCAAGGCCAGAAGATTTCGTTGTTAAAATAGTAATAGCCTGTTCTATTCTTTTCCGTCATGAGCTAACGATCCTGTAGGCGATGCTGGATTATAATAGATTTATAGCACAGTCATTGATTTTAATTAGATACCATAAAATGTAAGCTCCTCATATGAGAGTAAAAATATTATTAAAGCCCATCAAATATCGTTCAATTTAAATGTCAAGACGACTAGTATAAGCGTGTTAAGAAGAAATTTTCCTAAAGGTTAAACAGAGATTTGTGTGACCCAAAGAGAGTTGTTTCGCATCTGGGTGTTTGTCCAGGTGAAATTTATGTATGTAAAACGTCCTTGCAACACAGGGTAATGTTATCCTAAAGTGAGGGCAATGTATTTTTAAAAAAAAAACAAAAAAAAAAGATTATCCTAAATGTAGATCATTTTTAAAATAGCTAAAATTAGCCAAATTGAAATCGCGTAAGAGCTTACATTTCTCTGTACTAAAACTTTATTTCTGCAATTACATAACATGAAAAATTTTGACAACCTACAACGGTGAACGGTGTTGCATTCTGTGGTGAGCAAGGAAAAAGTGGCAGGCTACCACTTGAAGCGATTGCAAAGGACTGCAACGCAACTAACCTTATAGCAGTAGCCCAGTCTAGTTAGCTATTCATCATCATCATTTAAGTTTGTTAGGGTTCACTGCCCCCCCCCCCCCCCCCCCATACACTGCAACGAAACACCATCCCGAGCCATCTAGTGGTAGGTTGTCCTACACTCCGATGGCCAGTACGACTTGGCTAGTCGGCGATTTAAAGTATATAAGTAACATCTAACGAAACTTTTCCGCCTTCCGAAGCTGACGGCCGTGGCCGAGCGCTCAAGGCGCGCCCCAAATCGCCGGCAATAACTCATCCAGGGGCCACTACATCCGCGTGCTTAGTACCCGAGAAAAAAGGGGGGGAGGGTCGCTCCCGCGGGGGGCGGCCGGCGATGGACTGAAGGAGCCCCAATCAATCTTACAAGTCGCACCGCCGGGGGGCGAGGGGGCGCTTTCGGGGGTCGCAGGGACCGACCGTGCCCCTCTTACGGACTGCGAGTGACCCTTAGGATCGCGCCGCGCAAAAGGTCGCAGCTGAAATCCCCAGCGATAACGGTCGAACGTATAGGACGCGTCGAAATGTAGAATGGAAATGAAAGACAAGAGAGTCACTATCACTACATAGTATAAAACAAAGACTTCCCGCTGTCTGTCTGTCCCTATGTATTGCTTAGATCCTTAAAACTAAGCAACGCATCTTGATGCGGTTTTTTACTAGATAGAGTCAAGAGGAAGGTTTATATGCACAGTGCCCCGTGCGGAGCCGAGGCTGGTATAGAATAATATGACCAAAATGAGGAGCACGTCACTTGTAAACGATCGACAATCCAGTCCAATTTCTCTCTAACACAAATCACAACTTCATTCGTTCTGTTACTTCGAAGTGTTAAAAATTTGCTACGATGGGAGCCTTACCTATATCATAACACGGCATTGAACAAGAAAATCTAAAACGCAATAGCGTAAAGCAACGCAATAGCGTTTCCGAAAGCACCCCGCGAAACATATCTCGGACGGGAAAAACCCGACGGAGAAAGTGCACTTGCCCGCTTCTGCGGCAGGCGTCGTTTTTGTGTCTTGTCTAATACCGTGACGCCCCCGGCTGATGAAGCCCCCTCCCCCCGACCACCACCCACGCCCCGGGCGAGAAAAATGAGTTAGGAAAGATGCGACGCCCGATTATGGCGGGGCGCAGCGATGCCTTTGTGGCATCCGAATCAATCGCGGCTCGCGTGACAGGTGAGGATAAGGCCTACCGCCCATAAATCCTGCTCTCCTAGTACCTCGGTCCGCGGCGAGCGATAAACCTCGCCACCAAAGCCAAAAGTCCCATCGAAATACTACCGCATTCACTTGGCACTGATCTAGACATTAATATGCCTCACTAGCCAATTATCACTGATCTAGACATTAATATTCCGATAAAAGATACGAGACATACCTTAACTTCTCAAATCGGGCTTAAAGTTTTGATAACTCGCAATAAAATCTAAACTGCAACTCTGAGTGCTATCTATATATATATAAAACACAGCAAAGACTTGCAGCGGAGGAATGTTTAGCATCTACATTATCACATTCATATGTACATTAACAAATTCCGTAATGACCTGACAATGACAATAATAATATTCAATTGTAGCATCACATTTTGTAGCCTTGTTTTATCGGTGAAATACCGGTCTAACCATCATATTACGAAATACGTTTTTGGAAAGTTAATTGTTTTAGTAAGATAAGACTTCAATTATGCAGCTTCTTATAATGAAACAAAACTACCTTTTACGTTACAAATACTCCATAAATTAGACGGGGCTAACATACTTTTGAACAACATAAGGTTAGCAATTAAAGCTTCAATAAATAACAATAAATATTTCGGAATATATTTTTTCACAAAATCCCAAACTAAGCAAAGCTTGTAACTGGTACTAGATAATTGAGAAACATAATTAAAGGTATTTTCTTTTGTAAATAAATACATATTATAGATACTTAAAAATCATCATACTAGAAAAACTATGTTCATCACACAACTTTTTCCAGTAGTGGGGATCGAACCCACACAATGAGGCGCAAGAGACAGGGTCACTATCCACTACGCCAAATGTTGTCAAAAAAATACAAATTGCTCGACTCCAGCTTGCCAAGACTACCATACCCTTAAATTACATTTGATCACGTTTATGATAAATTTCTGTACAAGAAATCGGCGTATTGAGGAAACCTAAATTCATTATTTCTTAAAATCGTTACTAAGACGGCCTATGAACATTTCTTAGTAGCTTTATACTCACAGTTTTATATTCAGTATACCAGCTCAACAATGTCTTTGTTAAGTGGAACATTGTTGAGATAAAGAACAGGTTAACGATGATTCTATTAAGCTAAACAATATGGAGAAATCTCAACGAATTAGAGTTCTATACTTTAAACAACCAAAAGAACTTATCTGCTATCCGATACAAAATATCACTATGGAGTATGGACTACTATTACATCATATCACTATAATGTACTGAATATAAGATAAACGCTCACATATATCGGAGAGGTTATGTCGTGGTACACTTTAGACTATACTTGGTATATTCGAGATCCAATCCTGGCTCCCTTTGCGTTCGTCAGAAATTCCACAACTAGAATTGAAAATAATTCAAACAGGTTAGCGGTAAAAACCGCCAATACCGCCCGCCGTTTCAAACGCGCCGAAAGGAAATTTCCAGAACGAGTCGAAATTACAATCCGGCGGAGAAATATCCGAAAATCATAACAGGGGGCCGGTGGCGACGCCAACAAAGGCGGGCCTGTGGGCCGACGCCACCGCACTCGCTTTGTGACGGTTTAGTTAGCAGAAGTTCGGGCTAGGGTTGAACGAAGCCGGGCGAATTCACTCCTAGCTGTGTGTTTACGCTGTTAAAACAGAAAGAATATTTCACGTTTCGATCCCAACTTGCTGCGGAACGGGCGAAACGAATTTAACGAGATCGCCCATAGTGACGATTTAAAACGATCCTCTGTTAATTTTCTATGAACCCCTATCGGTCGATCTATAAATTTTAGCGAGGAATTACTTGAAAACGCGTCAAAAGCAGTTTTGTATCTTCAGTCATATTGTAACACATGGCACTGGACTACAGTATTAAATGTAAATGTAAGTAAAAAAAATTCAGTAATTCAATGACTGCAAGGCAATATCTGGTTTCTAAAGCACGGCCAACCACTGAGCTATCGTATCGATACTACTACAAAACGAAGATGATTATAAATTCACTTCGTAACTTATATACTCTTTATATTAAACACGATGGCGCCGTTGCTAAGCTATTGGCTTCGGCGTCGAGGGTCGTGGGTTCTATTCCCACACGGGACAGGTCTGGGTGTTTGTATCCCATGGAGGGTTGACGTCAGGCAAGTAACACCATTCAAATGTTGTGCCGACCCCACCTAAGTGGGATAAGAGCAAGAGGATGATGATGAGGACGACTCTTAATACTAGACCTACCTTGCTTTCTCCGTCTAAGCTGTCTTGATACGCCATACTCCTCATGTGTTTCAAATACGCCGTAGTGATGGGTACGCTGTAATCTACATCCTCCCCGGCGTAGTACAATCCGCCATCCGGCCTCCAAGGTTTTGGGTACCTCGCGTACGAGTTTGAATATTCTATACTCGACGGCAGCAATTTCTTTTTGGGCGGGGACCTCGATTTCGGCGGATCCTTCGACGTCAAATTGGCGACGTCCAAGGGATTGTATTTCTTCTCCTTTTTCACGTCAACCGTCTGTTCTTTCGTCTCTGCGTTCTCCGTTGCCTTGGCGCTTTCATCGGCGGTGTCCCTTTCTTCTTTCTCCGTGTCCTCTTTGACTTTCTCCTCTTCCTTCTCTAGCGGCACCGACAGGGGCTGTGGGCTGTCGACTTTCACGTCTTCCACGTCTATAAGGCTGTCGTCCTTGTCTATCTCGGGGTCGGCGCGTACCGGCTCTTCCTCTCTGAACGCCGGTTCTACCGACGAACTTCTGTTCAGCAATGGCGTCGCGTCGAAACCGGTCGCCTTCTTCGGCGTGAGCTCTATGTAGGTCGGTTCTTGGTCCTCGCTCTCGGTAGGCTTGGGCTGTCCACCTTCTTCAACGGCTGGAGGTCCGTGTAGTCGAACTTCGGCTCGTAGGCGTAGTTGGAGTGCGCCGCGTCGATTTCCGACTCCCAGTTTCTCGTGTAGTCGGCGGCGCAGTGCGGCAGGAACGGCAGGTAGGTGGGGTGGCGGGTAGGGGAGGGCGAGGGGGTGGGCAGCGGCGGGGGGGAGGCGCTGCGCGGGCGCCGGGCGCACTCAGCGCACCCGGTGAGGAAACGGGTGACCGCCTCCCGAGGCAGGAATGCGTAGGTCTCCGTAATCTGTAGAAGGAAGGCATTTGGTTAGCGGATTTAGTTTAAAATTTAAGTCTGTTATTTATTACTGGAAGTAACGAGATCTACATGGCGTGTAGGTGGTCAAGTATCTTAGTGTATCTTAGTGTCAGTCAGGTAGAAAAAAAAATCTTACATTACGTAAACGAAGATGGTACGAAGAGTTCAGTTTAACAAACATTATTACGTACGGTGTTCTAACCACGCAATAGTCTTTGCTCTTGTACGAATGCGCAGGTCCGTCCGGGTAAATACCACGACCGCACAGAAGATCGGCTTGAAGTGGAAGTGTTATACTACTGCGTTTCGTCTGGTGAGTGGTGAGCCGGAGCACACTTTATTGAATATTGAATATTTTAGGACACTTTTTGCACAACATTCTCTAGTCCCAAACTAAGCAAAGCTTGTACTATGGGTACTAGAAAACTGATAAACATACTTAAACATGTATTAAATGAAACAACTTTACGGATTTTATCGCGTTTTTTATTTTAATTTAAATTCCCGACGTTTCGAACCCTTTCCAGCGTTCATAATATATATAAAAAGGTCAAAACAGACCCCACAAGAAAAACACTTAAATTAACTAGCGAACTCATAAAGAAACACTCCGAAAAATTGAGTCTGGACGTCAATTCGATAATACCTTCTTGTGCAAAACCCCCAAAATTGTATGGGTTACCTAAAATTCACAAAACCAATGCTCCATTACGCCCAATTGTCAGCCAGATCGACTCACCAACTTATAGACTGGCCCAACATCTTGTTAAGATCCTCTCACCACTCAGAGGACATACAAAGGCGTACACTAAAGATTCATACCATTTTGTCAGTGAGATTAACCACCTACATCTTGCTGACAATGAAACTATGGTTAGCTTTAACATACAGTCTTTATTTACATGCTTACCTATAGAAGATTGTATTTCAATAGTTACTAGAAAGCTTAAGGAGAACAACATGCCTATAGAATATGCATTACTGCTCAAACATTGCCTCACATCTGGCTATCTATTGTGGAAGAATTCTACATACAGTTGGATGGTGTAGCAATGGGCTGCCCAGTATCTCCCATTGTCGCAGACATATTTATGGAAGACTTTGAGGAGAAGGCCCTTCAAACAGCACCCGTTCAACCTAGATTTTACAAGCGGTATGTAGATGATACTTTCACAATTTTACCATCAGACAAAGTAAATGCATTTCTAAACCACCTCAATTCCTTACACACTAAAATTACATTCACTATGGAATTAGAGACATGTAACTCCTTAGCCTTTCTAGATGTATTAGTCATCCGAAATCTTGACAACACCTTGAGCCATACTGTGTATAGAAAGGAGACCCATACAAATATTTAAATGGTGATTCTCACCACCACCCTTCACAGTTAGCTACTGTTGGTAAATGTTTGTTACAGAGAGCACGAGGGATCTGTGACAAGGAACACCTGGCCGCTGAGCTACACAATGTCAAGCAAGTGCTGCGTGACAACAAGCTCCAAATCCCGCGCCTGCGTCACAGTGACCGAGTGAAACCGGCCACAGTCGAGCGAGTGCCTGCTGTATTGCCATATGTCAGAGGAGTCACTGACAAGATTGGCTATATCTTGAAGCGTGCTTCAATTAAAACATATTTCAAGCCACCGAAGAAGATAAGTCAATTTTTACCATCTATCAAGTGTAATATCCCTCTACAAGATCCAGGAGTGTACAAGCTTGACTGCGATTGTGGGCTCTCTTACATAGGACAAACAAAACGATCAATTAAAACCAGAATTAAAGAACACATAGCTGACGTGAAACACCGACGGTTGAAGAAGTCTGCAGTTTGTGATCATATTTTAGACCGCCCCAACCACTACATTAGATTTGATCAACCGAAAATCCTCGCAAAAGAACACCGATTCCTTCCAAGGATGATCCGCGAGGCTATTGAAATAAAGAAACATCCTAATTTCAATAGAGAAGATGGTTGGAGTTTATCATCTGCTTGGGATCCCATATTTTATAAAATTAGATCCAAGCACACCAACACTGCCAGACCTCAAGATACCATAAGCTCCTTCTGCGTGGATCGGAATAAAAATAAACAAAATAATTGACGGTAGCCGGGGTTAACTATGACATCAAGACGTCTAACAACTTAGTCTGTCCCGTGACCATGAACGCTGGAAAGGGTTCGAAACGTCGGGAATTTAAATTAAAATAAAAAACGCGATAAAATCCGTAAAGTAGTTTCATTTAATATGTACAATATTCGCGTAAAATCAAGAAAACAATATACTTAAACATACTTTTTCTTTTGTAAATAAATACATATTGTACATATATTAACACCCAGACAGTAGAAAAATACTATGTTCATCACACAATATTTATCCAGTAGTAGGGATCGAACCCACACCCTCTGACGCAGGAGGCAGATACACTACCCACAACGCCATTCGGGTCGTCAATTAAAAGGTGGCAACGCTATCCTATGGGTGTGGCAAATGTCAATGGGCGGCGGTTATCACTTAACAACACCGCCAGCACGCTTGCCAAGGTCACAAAAAAACTGTCTTGTTGTTTAACACTTTCTAGTCCGCAGACTAAGTCATCATCAATTCATCTAATACTGAACCCATGGAAAAGTTAGTTCTCATCACTTGAAATGATAATAACATTAAAAGCTTTGATTTACTTAAATATTATACGACGCTATTTTATATTTTTTTAAAGAGTTACAATAATTTAATTATTATTTCTCACTTCACATAAAGTTTTCCTGTTTACGCCATCTATGGGAATGCATTGGTAACCGAAACATTCGCTTCCCCAATTGTGTTTTTCAAAAATTCATACTAGATGGCAGCATGGACAAAAATATATTCTTTAAATAAAATTCTTAAAAATATTGTAATGACAGACAAAAAAAATAAAAAATCATACCGTTCTATAAGTCCGTTTTTGACCAGCATGTTTACCGGGTCTGCCTTCCAACTCAACGTGAACAGTATAAATGATGTCGAAGAAATTTTCAACTATCGCCACTTTGCGATAGACAGGTTCTTGACTTGGTGCGTTCTGCAACAATAGAAAATATTGTTATTACTAAATGTAAAACGAATATGAGTGTATATAACACAAGAACTAGGAATTTATAGTAGCGCCATCTATCAACAACTGCGTAAAATGGAGAGGAATGGTTCCAGGGATACTTTTGCTATCCAACGATAGGTGGAGCACGTGTGCTAATTTAAAATGTATCTTTAGTGAAAACAATATACTGAGTAAAGCTGAAAGAAGTAGTTAAAGTATACCGATTTTTTGGTGTGAGAAGTTGGCAAGCGAGCAGACCGGTTCACCTGATGTTAAGTGAGTACCCATGAACATCGCAACTTCTGACGGGTTACAGATGGGTTGCCAACTATTAAAATATCCGGCACCCGTTCGACTTAATACCTGTTACCTGTGCGGCCGTGTAATTCACCGGACGAGCCTGCCCATTAATATTTTATAAATAAAATGAAAATGTAATATGACAAATAAAATAATTTTATTTTTCATATGGTTGAATAAAACCAAGATAATAAAATAAATATTCTAAAACCTTTTCTTCTAAAACATATCGTCAAGTTAAATATTCGCGTTTATTTATAATGATGCTTTATACTATTTAAAAAGAAAAACAAATAAACTCCTCTCAGAACATCAAACGAAATACAGATCTATAAAGCGTCCATCATCACAACAGGAAAGTACATTATGACAAAGTGTGGCAGCTATAACACGTTCTTGTTTTACGCGACTTGGTACGACGTAATATCGGTCTTAAGACGTTGCTGCAGACTTATCGTCATTCCGTCATGGAATTTTCGAAAAAGTTGGTCGTTTTTGAAAATAACTTAGGTAACTAGCCTAAGTTACCTAAGTTATTTAACTAAAAGAAAAGTATATGCATACTTGCATACTTATTATTAACAACATTGGTAGTATGTTGAACATGTTGATGTTAAATACTACACATCTTCCAAGTCATGGAACGTGAATGACGTACGTAAGAAAAATGGTAGTTAATATTTTTATACAAGATACTAGAACTTTCAGGGCCTACTCACAAACAATGTATCTGTTGGTATTCTATTTATTTATTTATTTATAACAAACTGTAGACTAAAACAAACATCTTTAAAGTCTAAGAAAACATAAAGTCCCTTAGCACAAATGCTACATCTTCATCCGTCTCAAACAAATTAATCAAGAATCAACGATCAGCGCTTCACGTATTCACCACGAACCCATTACTATAATTATTATATTATTTAAATTTAAAAATAGAATATAAATTCAAAATCAAAAAGCAATTTTTATTATTTTATTAATATAATCCCGCGACGCTACTAATCCGTCGAATGTTTTATCGCGGGCGGATTGTCGAGTCAGTTTGCGACGGACGCGGAGCCGCGTCCGTTAGCGGCGAATCCCGTAATTGGACTCATAAATTACCCGCGGACGGCAATTAGCCGGGCGCGGGATCGCGCCACGACCCTAATTACCCGCACTCCGGACTCCGGGCTTTCGGTCCGGGACCGTAATTACGTCGTCGCCGCTTCGGGTGGCAACAGTACCGGCGAACGCAGGACAAACCCGTTGATGTATATTTTTATTTAGTTTTTAAGGGTTCCGTACCCAAAGGCAAAACGGGACCCTGTCTGACTGTCCGTCTGCCACCAGGCTGCATCTCAGGAACCATGAAATTTAGACAGTTGAATAAGTGACGAAAGTAGCCGAGTTATGTATGTGATGTACCTGCAAATAAGGAAAATGAAAACTCAAGTTCTAATACTTCAGATTGGACCAAACTGTACAGGCCACATTAATGTGGCCTTCAATTTCGATTCTTCCCCAACTAAATCTTTCTAAATTAAAGTCTGGTGTACTGTTAGGCCATTAAACATTATTTAGTACAGTCTTAAAGAACATAAACTAAAAAGTTGCTATATCGACTTAAAAATCGGTAGCCGTAGTTAATCCTTTGCGTTACATAAAATTATTAGGGAATTGTCCTAAATTTTTATAGCAGCGACGACACCGCGTATACGAGGCAACCGGGCGTACCCATAGTAGGGGGCTCGATAAGGAATGCAAATTGGTAGGAGAGAATGTCATGCGTTTAGTCGTAATAGGCTAGGCGCGTTCGAATTAAAAGCTCGCACTTTGAGTGTGACATTTGATGATTCTTTTATTATGGAACTTGCCAGTTCTTGACAGCTCCCCTGCAATATGGTAAGTACTTATGAAGCTAAGCAGAAGCCTATTTCCTACATTGGTTATACGGCGCCTACTATAAATAATGCACGTGTATACGAAATAAAACTTAGAAACAAATAGTAACATAAAACATTTCATTAATGAGATGGTTTCTGAGGTAGCTAAGCTTGTTCGCCTCGGCGCGGGGGTCGTGGGTTTAATTCCCACACGGGGATTTACCAAGTTTCCGATTACCAAGGAAGATTGACGTCAAGCAGGCGGCCGGTAATAAAAAAGGAGAAAGATGAAAATTCAGGTTAATATAAGAAATAGAACGCCTGATATGGCAATAGACAATATGTTCACTAAGCAAATGAGCGAACTGCTCAAGTTGCAAAAGCATTGGCGGCCCTTAAAGTAAAAGTAGACCGTCTTCACGAATATCCCAAAGACCATGCCAGATGAACAATGTGTTTTTCCAGTGTCTGGGTGTTTATATCTGTAGTATATGTATTTATTTACAAAAGAAAAGTATGTTTATCAGTTTTCTAGTACCCATAGTACAAGCTTTGCTTAGTTTGGGACTAAAGAACGTTGTGTAAAAAATGTGTTCTTTATATTGGAAAAACCCTATTTTGTACCTGCTTTCGACCTTAATGAATTAAGGTCGAAATTCTATCAACCGGCGACTGCTAGTTATTAAAAATATTTTTGTTATTCTTGTAACATCGAAACAATACTGTGCCAAACAATGAAGAAACCAAAACATCCTTGATATTCCAGAGAGCTGAGGTACGAAAAAAGACAAGGAAAGTGGGAAGAAGGAAAACCGGAGCGAAAGCAACAGTACCAGGCGGACATGAAATACGGGGCGATGCGAGCGCGACGAAACGGGGTATCAACGGAGATGCTTATCCGGGCCGTGTGGGCTGCGAGTGGCCCGGGGCGGCACTAATGGCCCCGCCGATTACACGGCCGAGGCCGCGCCAGCCGGCGGCGCTAGGGTTGCCAACTCCTGTTCGAGAGATCTCGTGGCTCTTTAGAGATTTTCGAATCTCTTTACGAATTTGACCGGTCAAACGTAGTTAACGAATTTCGTTTGTCCTTTGAATGTTTTCGACTATTTTTGGGTTTTTTTTTTTTATTTCGACTTTTGGATCGTTTTACGAGTTTGAACAGTCTATATAGTTGAGAACTTTGATCGGCCTTTTGGGTATATTCGATTGTACTGTACGAGTGTAAGCTGACATTCTGCTCGCTTATGATACGGGTACCGTAAAATTGAATATACATATAAAATGTTTTATGTTAAAATATTAGCTTTTTTAAAACTTCACATGAATTTACGGCAAATATAATGACTGTACGTCAACAAACAAAAACAATATCCAATAACAGCAATCTCACCTGATGAAATTTAAATATTAAATTTATAAGGAGTTTCATATTTCTATTAATTTTCATTTTTTACGCTGGACGTCTATTTCATCATATTTCTATTAATTTTCATATCCACCTAAATTCTTGTAAAAGTAGTAACAATAGACGATTACATTTTAACTGTTTCACCAGGCGAAGGCCGTTGACAAAATAAAAAACAAAAGAAATTAAAAAAAAAAAACAATTCGCGCGCGATCAGCCGCTTCCCGCCCGAGCCGGGCCAATTAGCGCGGCCGCCATTCGGCCCCCGCGCTTACGACCGGCCGCTCCCTCGGAACGGGAGTCGGGCCGAATAAAAATAAATCGCGCAAGAATCGAGACGCGCGGGATCTCGGCGGCGTCGCGTCGTAAAAGCGTTTATTGGCGGCGCGGGGCGCGATTCCGCCCGTTGCCGCCGCCGATTTATTCCTGCGCGCGAACGTCGGAATCGATTCGCCATTCTGTCTTTGTTATCTTTTGCTTTAATTGAATCAGAGGATTGAAAACAATTCCTCGACGCGCATAGAGCAGCCAATACGTGTATAGGATAATCGCGACTCGATTCCCGCGATTGTGCAGCTAGAAACAACTTATTAATAATGAGAATCAGTTAGCCGTATAACACATCTTCTAATACTGCATTTCAATTTTTGAAACATTACACATTTGTTAAAAACATTATTATGACTTAAATATATGTGTCATTCGTTTTGCAGCTTACTTAATTAGCAGAGCCTTGCTAACTCCTTTCAATTGCTCTCAACCGATACAGGTGCGAAGCGTAGTGTGAAAAGAAATTATTTGCAGCAAGCACAGGAAGCAATATTGATGACTTTGTATAAAAATACTTCAGCGCCCGAAGAAATGGAGAATTATTTTTACTTTGGAATACACAGTAGCTTTCATATTATAATATCCTCCGTACGGAGAAGTTGTAAGCCTCACAGCAGAGCAACGTGAAGTGTAGTGTCATCTGATGAATGTGGTGGCTGTAGATGTAAATGGGCAGCTGGAATCATTCAATATCAGACGAACCGTCCATCTTACCAACTTATAGTCTCGACACAAAGTATAAATAATGTAGTATAATCACTGCATTGTATAAAACAAAGTCGTCCCCCGGTCTGTCTGTCCATATATGTGCTTAGATCTTTAACACTACGCAACGGATTTTGATGCGGCTTTCTTTAATCGATAGAGTGATTCAAGAAGAAGGTATATATGTATAATTCATGAATAATATACTATAGAAACACTGATAATTTTAGATATTTCTAATGCGATCTCGATAACAAACATTCAGCATTGCACCCGTGCGAAGCCGGGGTGGGTCGCTAGTGTTAGTAATAAAATGATAACCAAGGTAACTTTAATGCTATTACAGACAGTGTCTCTGGTTGGTTGTACTGGTCGTCGAAATTGGTCGAAAATTCTTGTTAAAAATAAATTTTTAACGAGAAATTTCGACAATTTCCTGTCGAAATTTCTTACACGAGTGACACCTTTTTGCCCCAACCACGAGCACTTAAGTCTGCTCGCGTTGACAAGCACTTTCCCAAGTTAGAGGACGGTCATCTTGATTGCTCTCCGTGCCGCAAAAAACGTAAGCCGTGACGTCACGCTCTCTCCCCCTACCAAGTTTACGACCGCTGGAGAACATTCTCGAATAAATGTAACGCCGTAACGAAGATAAGGAAGCTAGAGATTTTCCAAAGAGAAAAAAATCTGTCGTTTTTTACACTGTCATTGGGGACTACAAGTTTTAAGAACAATTTGTGACGACTTCCAACTCTGAGAGAGACAGAGACAGACAGAGACAGAAAATAATCAAATATTTTATACGCGTATCTTTATAGTAGGCTAACAGCGTTAACATCAAGTCGCTTATGTGAAACAAAAGCAAAATAATGCACTGAAAGGCAAGCACAACACAACAAAGGTCTATCTCAACTCCGTAATGGAACATTTTCGTCTGAATCCTTTAGCGCTTGATTGGAACGACGTGACAAGTGAGGTCGTCGCCACCTTAGTTGTCTTGCCGATGATAAAACCACAAATAAGTTTTGGATAACCCATTGCTTCAGTAATTTCTTTTCGTCTTGTGTGGCATAGATTAAAAACAAGCTGTAAAAGTAACTTTAATTAATTCCTTACTAATATTATAAAGGCGAAAGTTTGTATGTATGGATGGATGTTTGTTACTCTCTTTACAATAATATAGCTTATACATCAGAATAAGACATAGGCTATAATTTATATACATATTTTATGTACATCGGTCTATCTGTCTGAATGTTACGCCTTCAGCCTATTCTACGCAGACGTAGTCGCGGGTAGCAGCAAGTTATATATAAAGGTGAAGCTAATTAATGAGTTCTAAATAAAAGTGTTTTGGTTTTGTCCCGTTCAATTTGTTTCAAGTCGTTGGATATATTTGAAGTGAAACTTCTAATGCGACTTCCAACAAGGTTACGTTAAACGTTTAACGCTACCATGGGGGGGGGGGGGGGGGGTATGAAAGCACTGTTGCGTTAAACGTTCAACGCTACTAGGGAGAGGGAATAGAAAAAGACAAGCGAGGTAGAATGAATGGCACTCGAAGTTTCACTTCTTCCGCGCGGAGGGACACCACGGACTATTATATTTTTTTGGTATGTGAGAAAATGGCAAAAGAGCTGGCGGTTCACCTGACGTTAAATGATAACTGCCACACATGGACAATTGCAACACCCGTAGGGTTGCTGATGCGTTGCCACCTTTTAATAGAATGGGCCCCATTTAAGAGCGAATGAAACGCGCTTATATCAAACCCAAAACGGTTTTATTTAACAAGTAATTATTCGGCTCTAGAGCACCGAATTTCGAAGCGCAGAGTAGTCTGCGCAGAGACGACATCCGTCTTCCTCTGACGCGTCAAATAAGCAATAAATAACAGGTGGAATTGAAGCGCCGGGGCAATCGCCCGCAGATTCGGCCCGGCAATTACTCCGATAGTATCGGGGCGGCGGCAACAGGTGGCGCTGTATCGCTCTGCCCACCTGCCGACTGCGCCGCGCCTCCTTCCACGGCCGACGCGTTCGCAACGCGAATATTTGGGCCGAGCAAACATCCCGCGGTTATGAGGCCCTGGTATTTCGTGTCCGCGGAGCGATGTTGCATCTCTATTCATCATATCATCTCATTTTCTCTCTCTTTCTCTCACGCTTTATCTCTATCTATATATTACATCTCAAAGATGTTTTCATCGCAACGTCATAACTTCCATAATTTTTAATAATACATATATTATAATGATCATAATTTTCAATAAAAAAACCGACTTCAAACAAGAAACTAATAAAACATTGTCAACGTCTATGACATTTGAGGATTGCCCTCGATTTCTCTGGCATGGCATCATCAGATTTGGGATCCCTTGGGATATCTCCTTTCCAACAAAAGAAGAATCATCAAAATCGGTTCATAAATGACGAAGTTATCCCCGAACACACATAAAAAAAATAAAAATATATACGGTCGAATTGAGAAACCTCCTCCTTTTTTGAAGTCGGTTAAAAACACCACTTTTTACTTTTAAAGTTTGTGTTTACAGCTATTGACGACAAGCGCAAATAGATTAATAAAGTTAATATTTTCATTAAAAAAAAAATTCGTTTCTTATGTACGTATTGACAATTTGCTTCAATAAAACATAACGAAATTTAATGAATTTTAACGTATTCTTATATCTTTTATAAGATACCTTTACTTGATAAATACATATACCTCTATTTTATAGCTAGAGACAGGTTCACTACCCAATACACCAATCGGGTCTTAAATATAATATAATACCAGCCCGGTTGATGTACGCGGCGGTGACAGCCCAAAAAGAAAATTAAAAAAAAAAACTTGGACCACGAGTCCTTAGGGTTACTTTGTTAAAATAAAAAATAGTAATAAAAAAAAGAATATAAATCTATCTAGTTATACATATCTAACTGTTGCGTAACGGCGTCTTCTTTACGGAGGGTATTAGGGCATAGTGCACCACGCGACGACCCCATTGCGGACTAACGGACTTCACATATCTTTGAAATATTTTTTTTGTTATTATTTCAAAAATATGCAGGTTTTCTCACGATGGCCTCCTTTTTGCACCGTTACCGTTGAGCACGTGATGAGTCAGCACTTGAAATTAACAATTTCATTGGTGCCGGCACCGGGGATTGAACTAAGGTCGCTCGAGTATATTAAATTATAGGCACCTGAACACTGAACTATAACGGCTATATTAAGGTATTTATATAAATTACCAGCCATCCGCCCCGGCTTCGCACGGGTGCAATGCTGAATGTTTATTTTCGACGAGTATTTCTCTACTATATATAAAATATATACATAATTATACATATATATATACCTTCCTCTTGAATCACTCCATCTATTAAAGAAAACCTCATCAAAATCCGTTGCGTAGTTTTAAAGATCTAAGCATACATAGGAACAGACAGACAGCGGGAAGACTTTGTTTTATACTATGTAGTGAAGAATATATACCAAAGCTCTAACATAAACAATACTTATTACCTTGTGAGTCTAACTTACAGCCACGCACGGCACGTATTTACTCGACACTATTTTGGCGAAATTCATTATTTTATATGACCCATTGAATAAGACGTGATTGATATCAAAGGCCCCCTTTACACAATGGGTATATATAACTAACATGTCACAATTCAACAGGGCGCTAGGGATGTGCCGGCTCTCATTTCCTTTGTACTGACACCAATACTGATTCAAGGCCGACCGGGTCCGGATGTACCGAGAGGGGCAATTGAACGGCCGGGTATATCCGGGTTGCCCTTGTTTAACCGGCGTAAGGAAGCGAATATCGTACTTATCCGATACCCGCGTGTACACGTGTGAACACATTTAAAATTGCGTAGGGGTTTTGATGATAACATTAAATACACTATGATTACTGGCATAACACGATTAAAACGCTATTTTGATGCAAATTGTACGAGAATCACTCAGATCTGAAATAATCTATAAACTTATTTTATTAAGAGCTACAGCTAATCTGCAGTTTTTAGATTTATTTTATTAACCATTTAATTGCAGATAATTAAAATAATCGGATCGTTAACATGTTATTATTATTGTATTTTAACTTACAGCTGAAAAGTTTTTTATTTACAAAACGTCGTTTCCTTAACCTCTTTGGTTATTAAGCCTTTCCTTCCCTCGATTAAATAGGAAACAAACAAAGGCATAAACAATTAAAGTCATAAACAAAGCATTTTTCGTTTATCTCCTTTTGATCAGACAAACCGATTGTTTCGAATGAAATCTCAGAACTCAGAGATGCAAGCGGTTTAAAATCATACAGCTAGTTCCAGAAATTGTTATTATTAAAATCATACAGCTAGTTCCAGAAATTGTTATTATTTGTGCTAATGATAGTTTAGATTAATGCTGGTACTGAACGCTGTAATAATTCTGCTTTACAGCGTTTTGTCGCCTTTTTAGGGTTCCGTACCCTAAGGGTAAAACAGGACCCTATTACTAAGACGCCGCGGTGTGTCTGTCTGTCTGTCCGTCGGTCTCATGAACCGTGATAGATAGACAGTTGACATTTTCACACATGATGTATTTATGTTGTCACTATAACAACAAATAACTAAAAAACATAATGAAAAAATATTTATGTGGGACCCTCATACAACAGAAATGCTTTTTTGCCTGTTTTTATAGATCCGAGTACGACTCGTACTTGGCTGTTTTTTTTTTAATATGATTTAGATTATGTGTACTACATAATCTACTGTCAAATAGCATTTGCGTAGCGGAATAAGACAGGGTAAGAAACACCTCTATAGTATCAAAAACTACAGACAGACCTTGCTTGTAAAGAAAAATGGAGCAAGACTATTACTGAATAGAACCTAGACGGTAAAGAAATAGAGGTAGGCAAGGGAGATGGCAGGATGAGAATTAAAAGCCGATCCCGAATGGAGATATAAAATACTGGAAGATGTTAGAGGAGCCTTACAGTGGTAGGGCCCCGTAGCAGCCTCGGCTGTTGCACGAATGGGCAGGCTCGTCCGGGTAAGTACCACGACCTCACAGAAGACCGGCGTCAAGTGGAAGTATAATATTTTCGCGTTTCGTCTGGTGAGTGACGTAGCCGGAGCCCAATTTTAAAAAGGTTGTCAACGCATCTGGAACCCTCGGGTGTAGCAGAAAAAGGCTTAGTAAAGGGACGCTGAACTGAAAAACATTCTGTCTAACTCTACAATGATGTTAGCAACAATTTCAAAGGTTGAGGATAAAGTTTCCATGCTGACGGTAGACAGGACAATGACACCTGGACGTCAAACACCTGTAAATCTAGTGACCATGAGTGCTCCGTAGGGCAATCAAAAAAGAACTCACCGAAGAAAGAAAGAAAATATTTAAATGATTAACAGATAATTTATCAAAACAATCGATTACTTTATTTTATACTAGTTGATAAACGCGACTGGTTCTGATTTGCTTATTACATTTACAAGCACATTGCCCAATCCACTTCTCCACGACAAGAAAAAATACATCACTCAACACATAGGTATTACATGGAAATAATACAATCCTTATTCCTTAGTAATATTATAAAGGCGAAAGTTTGTATGTATCGATGGATGTTTGTTAATCTTTCACGCAAATACTACTGAATGGATTTTAATGAAACTTTACAATTATATAGGTTATACATCAGAATAAGACATAGGCTATAATTTATATACATATTTTATGTATATCTGCCTGAATGTTACGCCTTCGGCCTATTCTACGCAGACGTAGTCGCGGGCAGCAGCTAGTTGGTAATATTCGAAACCAAGAAACCATACAGTTCCGACTTGACGATTTCTTTGCCTACAGTGGAACGTATGTAGGCAGGTATTCGGTATTTCACATCACTATTAATCTACAAGAGCGTATCGATTTTTTCGAGCGCGCCTATCGATAATGCGCGCAGTCAGTGCCGCCGTGTCGCGTCATGTCGAGCGATCGCTCGTTACGTTTTCCGCTGCCTGGAGCGAGCTTTAGAGTTGTAGATATAGAGTATCGATATTGTTAATTATATCATTATAAGTCGCTCTTATTGGATGATTGCATTTCGTAAGGGATTAAGAGCCGTGATAGCTTATTGTTCGGGCGCTAGGCTTTTAATTCAATGCACTTGAACAACCTGTGTTCGAACCCCGTTGCCTGCACCAACGAAATTACAATTTTAAGTGCTGAAATATCACGTGCTCAGCGGTGAAGGAAAACATCGTGAGGAAACCTGCATACTTTCGAAATAATAATAATGAAAAGAGTATTTTAGAAGATAGATTATATCTGTGGTAAGGCTACGCAATAGTGTTCGCTGTTGCACAAATGGGCAGGTCACAGAAGACTTTTTTAACTTTCGTTTTTTATGCAAAATGTGGCAAACGAGCTGGCGTTTGACCTGATGTTAACCGCCGCCCATGGACATTTGCAACACCCGTAGGGTTGCAGATGCATTGATACCTTTTCATAAAGTGGGCCCCGGCTGCCTCACTCACCAGACGAAACGCGAAAGTATTATACTTTCACTTCACACCGGTCGTCTGAGAGGTCGTGGTACTTACCCGGACGAGCCTGCCCATTCGTGCAATAGCTGAGGCTGCTGCGTGGCCCTACCGCTGATACTTTTTCTTTTTCTTTTTAATATAAACTCAGTAGCAAAAGAATGTCTAAAACATGTCGATATCGATAAGCGGCACGGAATGGCACGTCTCTCCGCTCACGCCGCGCATTAATCAGTCGTCGTTTGGTCCCGCCGCAAATTCTCGCAGCACACCCCCCCTCCCGCCCGTCGCGTCCCCCGCTCCGCCCCCTCACCCAGCCGACCCGTGCCCGCGACCCGGCCGCACTCGCAGGGCTACCGATTTCCGAACATAACTCACCGGGCGGCGGTGATTTATAACGTGCAATAAGCCCGCTGTCTCCCCGCCGTTTGGGACATCCCTGGGACTGCGCGCGGGCTTCTCTTCGTTCTTTATTTGAAAAACTTATAGCGTGCGAAATGTAATTTTTGTAACATATTTATGAGATTTTACATTTTGACAATACAGTTTTATAGTTTAAGAGATTCCATTAGCCCAGCTAGATATAGTAATACCTATCTTTAACACTCGATAGTGGTTGTCAAATACTTATATAGAAAAACAATAATTTGAAAATGCAATGTACATTTGTAGTATTTTAATTTTTGTAATAAAAGAAGCGTAACAAAATACACGTATACACGTAATAAATTAATATTCAAACCATAATGATTTTTTGGCAGCCCTACAGCCGGCTAGTTTACGCGACGAAGCGTGCACTGCCAACACGCGATCCCCCGAGATTCTCGCCGCCAGCGTCGGCCGCCGCTTTATCGTGGCTAACGCAACTTTGCGTACGTTCATGAAACTTCGGCCGTCACCACTCGGTACATATTACACTGTGACGGGGGAAGTTTTCTCACGCCCACTCGTGACGAGTCAACCCTAGTGAACCGCGGGAGTTCCGTGAGTTATGTCTCGCGATACTAGATTAAAAGACCACCTGTGCGTCATGTCAGCCTGGTACTTGTCAAAACAGAACCACGTTAAATTATTATTTTTTAACCGAATTCTATCCACCTACCTTTGTAATGTTACAATAGATTTGAGAACTATTATAGCCTACTTACATATCTCTAACAATCCACATTAATTTGTTTATACTAACTAACTTTTGACAACAGGTTTTAATCGAGTGATTATTATAAATATTCATATACAAAGAGCTTTCAACTAATTTCTATCCTAACAACTAGAGTTAGGATATATTAGCTAAAACATTTGAGAAAATTTGAGGCGTCATTTTGATACAGAAAACCGAAAGATGAACTCATACTACAACTAAACTGTCACTTCCCATTTTAAAACATTGGAAACTCGCTGGAAAAGTTACAATCCTTTGGAATTCTTATTTTGAACTAAGTATTTCTTTCTATAGCATTGATTGGTAATTTAAAATGTTACGGACAGTCACATATTAATTTAAAGTTTAAATTCCTTAAGTATCTTTAAAAAAAGAAGAGTTTAAAATATTTATGAATATGTACTTAAAAGTATATTTATATTCTTCTACATTTGAAATTAGGTACGAGTACGAACAAAAATTTATTTCATAAATATGAATTTCACGAAAAGAAGATTTCCAAAAATCTTATTATATACGTATGTTTTATCCATAGCGTATGGTGATGACATAACTATTTTATATAGGGCTGTCAGCAAAAGGAGTGTCAGCTTACTGAACAGCCGGGCATGCCCCGACATCCACAGACTATAAATTATACCCATCATTCTCCTCTCCCCAGCGGCCGAGGCGTTGACAACGGTCGCCCCAGGACCGAGTAACGACCCAATCAAAAGTATCGATCTCACCCATTCCTCACAGATGTCGCCTGCGTATTCCTGTCTCCGGGGCAGAGGCAGCCTCATAGGAACGAGTGAATGAATGAGATAAATCATCAATAAGGTCTTAATCTTCGTAATCCAGTATCGCATCACTAGCGCTAAAAGGTTTTACCGTTATAATTGTTTTTGGAGTATTTATTATGTGAAATCATTATTCAACAAAGAATTTTAACAGAGTTTCTATGCTGTTCCATAGTTCATGTTAGATACAATTTCCGTAAATAACTTTTAAAGGAGCGGACCACGGCTACCTCGCTCAGATGAAGACCATACGAAACGAAACTTCCCATTTCCACTTCAGCATTTATCCAAAGCAGAAACTACTATACATTTGAATATCGCCATCGACATTTGCGGCCCGACACGACTTAAGGACCTCTAAGCAAAGGCCGTTTCGATCATAAACGCATACTTAGCATAAGCTACAAAAATTGGAATCCATTCTGCACGGTACATGCTTTTGTCTGAGCGTACGAATAAATGTACTAATCTACTACACATTTGTTATAATGACTTAGCACATAAAACCCTCATTACGCCCGGCGCCTTTGAATCAGGAGCGTTTTATGTGTCGATCGCTTTTAGACTATTCCAGCGTGTCCGTTCGACCCCAAAAGCGGCCGACCCGGCCCTCGGCCGGCACTTGAACCCCGCCGCTGTTTGCCGATCGGCAGCAGTGCGACCCGGCCCTCGACAGCGGCACTCGGAACCCGCAGATCGACGCTAGAGGCCTTTGTTCAAAAGGAACGAAACTCGCCTCTCGTCCGGATTATGCGCCGCCCTCCGGTGAGTTCTCTTTTTGAAAACCGACTGAACTTCTAGTCGACGACGCTTAATGACGATGTAGGGAATATGTAAAACCTCATTTCTGTTTCCTCTTTTGTAAATCAGCACGCATGGGAAAAAATTAAAACTATACAGTACCTATTTGGAGTATATATGATAGCCGATTCGTGTGTATGCAAGTGACGATTATGCTCTGATATCCTTACTAATATTATAAACGCGAATGTCTGTATGTATGGAAGGAGGTTTGTTACTCTTTCAAGCAAAAACTACGGAATAGATTTTAATGAAACTTTATAATAATATAGCTTATACATCAGAATAACAAATAGGCTTTAATTTATAGATACAATAAGTATATATAAGTTGAACAAAATATAGGTAATGATAAGCGTCAACTAAGTAGGAAAAAATTCAGCCATAAAATACTGATTGTTAATTGCCTTTGGCCGCGCGGGCGAAGCCGCGGTTAATAGCTAGTCTTCTATTTAAGATACCTTTTGCCAGCAGTGGGGTATATATAGTATGATTGTATCGTATAAATGACTTCACACCCAAGTTGGTAAGAAGTCATGTTTATTTATCGTCGTTCGAGCTCAAATGTGTTCTCTCCATCGCGGTCGATTCCGGCTCATCGCGGTCCTCACCACATCGTAGAACGAAGACGGTTCTGTCTCTCCGAGCTGGTCACTCCATCGTGCTGGAAACCGGTCTCTTGGTCTTTTGCCTTCAGTGTTTCCAACAACGGTCGACATGTCCCAGCTTTCGTCTCCTCTTCTCATTATGTGGCCAAAGTAACTTAGCAAACGTTGCTCGCTTATTGTTAATTGGATACAAAGTCGGAATATTCTCACGTGAGTTTTTGATAAACGCCTAGCTTACTCATTGAACGAACGGAACGAGTGAATGGAGATTGGTACATTACCGCACCTTTTCCAGAGATTTCTTACGTCCGCTTTCTGAAACAGTGACCATCGTAGAAGTTAACTAATCAGCTGTCAAATGGATTTTCAAATGATTGAGTTGACAAAAGGATGGGACGTTTAAACTCTTTGAATTGATCATACTTTTTTTTTTTAATGTGAAAAGTTGCCAAACGAGCAGACAGTTCACCTGATGTAAGGAGAATACCGCCGCCCATGGACATCTGCTACACCCGAGGGTTCCAGATGCCTTGACAACCTTTTGAAAATTGGGCTCCGGCCACCTCGCTCACCAGACGAATCATGAAAGTATTTTAATTCCACTTTACGCCGGTCTTCTGTGTGGTCGTGGTACTTACCCGGACGAGGCTGCCCATTCGTGCAACAGCCGAGGCTGCTGCGTGGCCCCACAACCGCCCAAAATCATTAAGATCACTCTGATCATTTCAGAAAGTTTCACCATCCATTTGGAAACTTAAATAATATTTGAAAAGCTATTTAACAACTGATTAGTTTACTTCTACGATGATCTGTGTTCCAGAAACCGGTCTTCAGAGTAGCTCACGAATATGATAGAATCAAAGTCATCGGAACATTCCGCGACACAGACGTATCATTAAAGGAACATTCCAATTCGAAAATCGACGCGAATATAACATATATCATATCACAAATTTTACCAGATGCGATTATAACAGACGGAATTGTTCCCGGATTGTTCCCGAACGCCTCGGTGCATGTTCCGCGAATCGGGGTTGGAACATTGGAACGTGTGTTCCTCGACCCGCCCGCTCGACCCCATTTGCCCGCGGAACATTCCCCCGCCCTTGTTTGAACTCCCGCCTCCGCTGTTTGCGCAGCCCCAACACATTCCCGCGAAATATTAAACCGCTCCGCGCGCGGACCTTTACGGCCGTCTAGGAGCTAAAATAAACCCGAGAAAATTCCACGCTCCTCGTACTTTCGACGCTTTTCCCGTTTCAATTTCGTGCAAAAACTGCGTTGCGTTCGCGTGACGGTATAACGATTTACGGTAAAGATCACGTCACAAATCGATACACGTTTGGTGATTACCAACATGAGGAACACGATTGAAGGACTAAGCTAAGCAAAGTTCGGCGTTACTTAGCGAATCACTTTTACTATTCGTTACAGGATGTATTAGTAAGAAGATCAATTCTCCTGAAATTAAATGATGACCGCCACCCATTGACATTTGCAGCACTCATAGCGTACCAGATGTGTTGCCACTTTATCATAAAGTGGGTCCCGACTACCCCATTCGCCAGAAAAAACGCGTTATGTGTTAGAACTGCGTAAGTATCACGGTAAGTACCACAGTAATGGGTAAGTACCACGACCTCACGGAATACCGGCGTGAAGTGGAAGTGTCACACTTCTGCGATTCTTCTGATGACCAACGTTATTAAAAGGTGGCAACGCGCCTGCAATCTTACGGGTGTTGCAAATGTCGATGAGCGGCGGTTATCACTAAACATCAGGTGAGCCGCCTGTTGCCACCTTGTCATATAAAAAAACCTAACTTTAAAACTCGACTCCGTCTACCACGTAAGGTGTGATGGTACGTAACTGTTTCAGAAACGACTTGCACACGGCCAACAGCAGTACTTGACAGTGTGCATTCCATTAAAAGCAAATTAGTTTTCATCCGCGACAAAATTAGCCGGGCGCGGTGGATTAGCCGCGGAAAATTAGGGGCGCCGCATTGCCCCCTCGAATTTTAATAGCTCCGAAGTTTAAAGGCTGCAGTTGCAACGGGGCATCGCGGGCGCCCCTAGTGCCAATGGGGGGCGTCGGCAAATATAATTAGGGAGCAGCGCGCGGCGCTTCGGGCATAATCAGCGGCAGAGGCGCCGCTCACGACCTCCATTTGAATGCTGATATCCTAGTAACCCGAGCGGGGTTTTGCGTAATGTTGCACTCGGTATTAAATTTATATTTATGTATATATATATCACTGTGTATATTAGTATACAGGGTGATTTTTAGACGAAGTACATACTTTGAAATAATGTTTAATTGAGCATTCCATAATTCAAAATAAATATCAATAATTTATTTTGCCCTAGAAAAATACATACAAATGAGGATACATACATGCAAAAAAATGAGGTCATAAGTACGTACCAGATTCAGATTTAGAATTAAATTCTGCACATTCTCTGTTAATATGTCCGTCGTCTATAAAATCACGCTTTATAGATAAACTGTGTAAAAAGTGCTATATACAGTAGTTTTATCATCATCAAAAAAAATCGTCACTATTGCCTGTTTGAGTCCACGGATGAACATAGACCACAGACCATGCCAAGCATGATTAACCTCATGATAGTATGTGTGTACCAAAGTGTTTCTGATCAAGATAATATACATACCGGCAAGTTTCCTGGTTGTTGTCAATTTAAAACTACTTTTTTATAAAGCTTGGTAAAAAGTGATAAACATGACAGGTCCGAATTTGCGATTCGGTGGTAGGTTTTCGTTAATAGGTAGCCTAAATTGTATATTATTTCAAGTTTCACACACTAACTGTTCCAAGTCTTTAATGAGAATTTTTTACTTGAGTGAAAAATAAAAGAGCCTCCGGCTCCATCCTATAAATAGCACCATCACACCACTAAAGGTATAACGAAAAAAATTGAAGACACTTTTGAAAGAGGAACGCGGCGTTCGCGAACGCGTGGCATAAGGAACGATCTCGTAAATAATTCGGACGGGTTATCGATCAGGCCCATCTATTGTGGGGATGCCCCTACCTGGCGCGGCAGAGGCCGACTCGGGTACGCGCGGTTTCAGATTTCCGACGGTGAATATTTAACGGCGGCGCAACAGAAATAGAAGGGGTCGGATTGAGCGACGTGTTTCGACGCCGCTCTCGTCGGATATCCGTCGGACGCTTTTCCAGAGATCACGGTGTAGTGCCGCCCTTAAAATAGCTTCGTTGTGGGAACGCGTTCTTTTTTTTGAAATTCGAACTAGCTCGGATTTGGAATCGATATAAATTAAATTAGCAATGTCATTAAATAGCTATTTTTACGGAGTTATCACGTTTATTTTTAAACGGTTTTATTAAACGGTTTTATTTAGCTCGACCCGTACGGAATTTGTTTGTTTGGGTCAAAATTAGAAATTGAAATTTAAGCACCTTGCCGTTGTCAGATTGATCTGAAATTTGGTACACACATTTAATTTAGATGACAATACAATATTAACAAAAAAAATTTAACAAAAAAAGAACATAAAATAAAACCGTATAACTTAAAAGTTTTTAAACGGTTTTATTAATTTCAGTTACCGGCGTTTCGAACACTTCTCAGCGTTCTTGGTCACCGGACACAATCCGTAGAAACAGTTTGATTTAGTAATGTCACCGAGTAAATTGGCAATCATAGAGACTAGGGGACCCGCGTAACATTTTCACACAGTATTGTGACCAGTCACCTAATGGTAATAATGTGCCAATAAGTATATTTTAACTAATTCTCAATAGAAGGCTTTATCACAAACTCGTTATAAGAAATTTTTAGAGGGAGTTTTTTTTTAAATCATTAGCTTTATTCTACTTGTTTTTTTCATCATTAGCGGCAAACATACGCTTTAAAATGGTGTTTGAATCATTAAATTTGATGAAGAATTATGGCGTTTCTACCAACAAAGAATGCCTTTAAGAAAACTATTTCTTATATTACTATACTATTATTATACTAATAATGTAGAGATTGTAGATTAAAAATTAAAATACCGGCATCATGTCTGTTATATGGGAGCCCCACTTAAATATTTTTATATTCAGTTTTTTTTAGTATTTGTTGTAATAGCGGCATCAGAAATAAATCATCTGTGAAAATTTCAACTGTCTAACTATCACGCATCATGAGATAGCCTGATGGCAGATGAAAAGACGGACAGACAGTCAGACAGCGGAGTCTTATTAATAGGGTCCCGTTTTACCCATTGGGTACGGAACCCGAAAACTACAAGTTCTAGACTACAAGATCATAAAGTAGTTCAATATAAATTCTTAAAACGCATGCATTTACGAATGTGCTATAGTCGAATTAGTAAAGTCGAATGAGTGACCCTGATAAATAATATCTATATAAGTAGCAACCCTGACAAAACGTTATACCCTCTTTACCCAATTAAAACCAAATTAATAATATACCAAAATTAATATATCTATAAATGTATGTAACTTAATTTAGACCACAGTATAACGATTTCAGAGCCACGCCTGGTGTTTCAGGTATAACCCGCATGCGATTTTTCGCTTCTCTAGTGTGCAGACTTTTGAAATGGTCGACGTTTACGACCTCGCCAGCGGTCGTAGCGGGTCGTGGCGGACAATTTACCGTGGCGTGTGCGGCCAGGAAATCGGCATGTTGTTTTTTTTTTTTATGTGACAAAGTGCGAAACGAGGTGGCGGTCCACCTGATGTTAAGTGATAACCGCCGCCCATGGGCATATGCAACACCAGTACGGTTGCGGAAGCGTTGCCACCTTTAAATAAAGTGTGCCCCGGCTACTTCACTCATAAGACGAAACGCAGAAATTTAACACTTATACTTTACGCCGGTCTTCTGTGGGGTCGTGATAAGTACCCGGACGGACCTGCGCATTCGTACAAAAGCTAACACTGTTGCGTGGCCCTACCACCGAAATTAATTATGTTTAAAAGTATCTGGAATCCCCTGATGTATCAATTGTTTAATGGTTTTGTCATATAAAAATATTTGTTGTACGATGCAATTTCAAATTGATTTAAAACATTGCTTCTTACCAGATGTCATGTTTTTAGGTTAACGGGAATTTATAAATTTTGTTGGTCGCGTTCCGCTGAGCTAAGCGTGTGACATACTTGTACATCATATATATACGAGTATGTCAAGTGTTTTGATATTATATTATTATATATTTGCGATTCGTCCGGTGAGTGCGTGCGTATGGTAGCCGGGGCCCACTTTATTAAGAGGTGGCAACGCATCTGCAACTCTACGGGTGTTGCAAATGTCCATGGGCAGGCGGTTATCAATTAAAATCAGATGAAACGCCAGCTCGTTTGCCACTTTCTCACATAAAGAAAGAAAAGAAACCATATTAAAGTGACTATTAAAGTGACTTTTTTGCTAATTTCTGTCTACTTTCTAAACCGCGCTACGGAGAAAGACAAACGACTCCGTGGCGCCTTATCTTTGCACTTAAGAAAGCTCCTAGTGACCGATTTCATTTCCTTTTCTCTTCATTTCAAAAGAGTTCCTTACACAAGAGCTATCCTTCCATTTCGACTGGGGAAGCCACGTGAAATTTAACTCTAGGCGGCGCTTTTAACCTTAAACTTTTTTCTTCTCTGAGAACTATTTTTCAACCTTAAACAACCAAGTTATCTTTGCAACTCCGGACTTGAGGATCCCTCGGCACCATATTTAGCCTTACAACAGAACGTCACACCGATATTCCCTTTCTTTCCCCACCTTTTCTTCTCTTTATTACTCATCGAGGTCTATCGACTATCTTAACAGCGCGGCGCGACGAGCAAGACGGGTCTATTTTCCTTACTTTCCCTTTTTAGGGTTCCGCACTGAGAGGGTATAACGAAACCCTATTACTAAGACTCCACTGTCTATCTGTCTGTCCGTCTTTCACCAGACTGTATGTATCTCGACCGTGGTAGTTAGACAGTAGAAATTTTCACAAATGGTGTATTTCCGTTGCTGTATAACAGCAAATACTAACTAAAAATATTTAACAGGGGCTCCCACACAACAGGCATGATTCTATTGCCGTTTTTACAGATTGGTACGGAACCCGTCGTGCGCGGGTCCGACTCGCACTTGGCCGGCACCTTATCCTTTCGAGTTTCGCGAGCCATTCTTCGCATTCGACGGGGCGTGGTGTCACGCAGAATAACCCCCGGCGGTATTAGGCGTAGAAAAGCGCGGCCGCCATCGGGCGCGGGCAAACGACCGCAATTAACGGCGACAAGTATAGGGGTGTGGGTGGGGGAGTACTCTGAGTCTCCGAGCCTTTATCGCGCCGGCTTTTGTCGAGCGTCGGATTAGGGCGGCGACACGCTAATGCTCGAGCTGAGGAAATTCTAGTGGAGCGGTCGTGAATTCTAGAAGCAAAATCACTACATAGTATAAAACAAAGTCGCCGCCTGTATGTATGCTCAGATCTGTAAGACTTATCAACGGATCTTGATGCGGTTGATTTTAGGAAGGTTTATACGTATAATACTTTGCACCCGTGCGAAGCCGGGGCTGGTCGCTAGAATTGTGTAAAACTTCTAGCTGATCCGGCAAATGTTTTTTTTGCCATATAAATTACAAGCTATACATCTGGTGCCAATAAATAATTGGGTGGAATTTCGTAAAATCCGTTCTTAGCTGGCGAAAGGAATATTCCATATATAAATATAATTTCAGGTCTCTACGCCTTATGGTTCCAGAGATATCGTGATGAGCCGTGATTTTCCGGTTGCTCGCCTTTAATTCAAAATACTCGAGCAACCTGAGTTCGATCCCCGGTGCTGGCAACAATGAAAGTGCTGAATTATCACGTGCTCATCGGTGAAGGAAAACACTGTGAGGAAATCTGCATATTTTCGAAATAATAATTTAAAAAAAAAAATCGAAGATATGTGAAGTCCGCCAATCCGCAGTGTGGCCGCGTGGTGGATCCTGATACCCTCGGTACAGAAGAGGCCTTTGGCCACCAGTAGGCAGATACTTTACTAATTTTATTGTTTGAATCGTCTAAGATGCATAAGGCTACGGCCATATTGGAAATATGGGTTTCTTCCACGGAGACACGTTATTATGTATTTCAGGCGTTCAAATTAGACAAGCACGCGATAAACCAGCAGTAAAAGTCTTGTTTAATTTAACTATTTGATCTGTACAGCGATTCGATTTCAGGTCGCCCTACGACTCGGGCTACTGAGTACACTAATTTACAACGGGTATTCCGATATACGCATTGTTATTTAGAAATTCTATATAATTTTATATTTGGTACTTAACATAAAAAAATCGTAATGAAAAATAAAAAGAGCAATATATTCAGGTCGGCTTCGTAATGTGCATCCTGGGTAAACACGCGAACAGTCATAAATTTCGTTCGCGCATAACATGGCGTGCGGCCAACCATAATAAATTACCTCACCGGCTTTACAAAGTTTCAGTCAAATTAACTGGCTCGGAATCGGACGCCACGTCCACTTTATCGCCACGTCGTCTAACACCGAATGTATACGACGACAGCTTTACCACCTGCCGCGATTCGCACTCGACAAGTTTCGAGATATCCAGACAGCTGTGTACGAGATCAGAGATCGCAAACGTTAGGTTTGTGTTCGTGTAATAAATTAGCAGGCGGGGAAAGGTTGGGCGCCTCTGTCAGGTGGCACCATAAAAAGCGACCCGCATTGTTTTAATGGCGCGTAGTGAAGCCCTGACGGTAGGGCGGGGCGACCGCAAACGCGATGAGGCGGCTCAGGGTCGATATGTCTCTATTGTTCCCATCCTCGGCGTTCGGCGTAAAAGGCACGTTACTAGAGTTATCGATAAAAGACGTATATCGATACCGATAGGTAATGTATATCATCGAATGACACTAAAATAATTAACAACTCGCGAAATCCTCAGTAACTTCAGTCATGTTATGTTGAACTATTTTTGGAATGTAAAGAATTTAATGAAATATGTGTAATCAAACAGAAATATAGTAAAATCGGCGGGTATAAAGGTCCAAATAATTTAACGAAATAAATATCTTTAAGTTGACATTTTTAATATTTCATTAATCAAACGTACGGAGTAAAACAGTATAACACAGAACAAAGTAACAACGGAAAGGCATTCCATTAATAAAAAAAGCTTTTTTTACGAAATTGTCATAATTAGTGACATTTCGTCAAATTTGCTAAAATTAAAATCCTTTAGTACACGATTCATTATTGTAATAGCCATATACATACATATTTAATAATATAATAATAATAACCAATCGATTTCAGTTTTCAAAGTTGAAATAGCGGTTTTGAATCCATCGTTTTGTTATCTTTTGTGAACAAGCGTTATAAGTAATTTGTATGATTAATTATATATTTTTCTATCTATTTTACTCTTTATATCTAAAGTTTTTACATTTACGATTAATCGTAAATGATTAATAGTAATCGATTAAATAATTATAATCAAACAGTAAACACAACCGGTGGCTTACAATATGTATATTAATATATTAGTTCTGCACTTTATATTCCGGAATCGTTCCAAGTCCTAAATACCGTTCGGAACATGTCAGAGACAGTCAGACACAGTTTCAACTATTTAGCATATTAGTTTCATATACTTATTACTAAGATTTTACTACATCCCTGTTATGTATATGAGCAATTGAGCACTGAAAATGAAATATCTTTCGTAGAATTAATTATCTTTTGTGATTGGGATTATACTGGTGCAGTTTAAAATTGCCGTAACACCTATGTGTATAAAAATCATAACGTACCTATATTAAATTACTCACGAAATTAAAAAAAAAAAAAACTAATTCACTTCGACAGCTGTATGAATTAAAACCTCTGCTTCGACGGCTGAATGAATTAAACCTCCGTGTGTTGCGTAAAATATTATAAACAAAGATTAAGTTCGTTACATAGTACTTATAATATAATTTGTCGAATTTCGCCCATATGATTCCTACCATACAATTTTCTATTTCACAAATCCTCAGCAATATACTATGCTGGTTCTAAAGCATTGGGTTCCTTTTTAAAAAATATTTTACATGCCTATTTTTTTTGTTCGAATCGCGGCGGACACAATAAGCCACGTGCAGCCTTAAGGCCCATTTACACGGTGCAAGTTTCTTGCCTGTTATATACAATTAAATTGAAGCAATAAATGTGTTGCATTGTCTAAACAACAAACGGTCTAACAAATTATTGCGCGCAATTTATTGCATTCAATTATTGCTCTTGTATGTACAAGAAAATGGCGTCGTGTAAATGGGCCTTTACGCTTAAGAATTCCGTAAAGGGCTTGGCGCGGCGCGGGCAGTAACCGAATTATCGAAGTCGATAGTGATGCCCGACCCGCGAGTGTAATTGAATTAGCGAGTCTCGGAGCGGTATGCCTTTCTGAAATTACTACTGAAGATAGTGTTGCGAAAAGGTATCGAAAGTAAGAGAAGAAAATGCGCTCGGTGTGAAGTATTTCCGAATGATTTGCGCGAGTTTAAATGATGGTCTTAATCCCGAATGTGATTTTCTTTTATTTCATATTAGGACGTAGATCTAACGAAAAATTTTTTTTTTCATTACAACGGAGTGAATGAGAATTGAGGATTTGCAAGTGAATAAATTTTATTGATTCCTTATTTAAAATAAGGCAACCATGTCGACAAGTGTTTACTACGACTTAATGACTTAATTCTCAAATCATACGTAAAGATTTCGTGCACTAAAACAAAATTAAATTAAACTAATAATCTAACTAGCGATTTACGTAAATTAAATTACATATTATGGGGAAAGATATAATACAAAGATATTACGATTGCTTACTTGGTTAAGCTGCCAAACTATTGGCCTTCGCGTAGCGTATATCATTCATTTGTATCCCACAGTCACACGAAATAATTTGTATGACCTTCAAATATTCATTCCAGAACCGAGTGTTTGTCTGATACGGTTTAACAATTCAAGATACTCAAACGCAATAGATAGAAATATTTCTATCTATTGCGTTTGAGTATCTTGAATTTAATTGTTGAAAATCGAAGTTGAAAATCGCGGTGCACAGAGCACGTTCGCGACAGAGAACTCATTCGCAACGGCGCAGCGTCTACGAAACTCCGTCTCGAAAATTCCGAACGCTCGCTCGCTCCATTGTGTCGAAAAGTGTGGGGCCCGCGAAATGCACTCCCCGCCTCGGGCCGTAATCCACTTACGCACACATGCGCGCCCGTAATGCGTGAACCGGCCGACATCTCCCGCGGCGCACATGTGACTCCGGCATCAGTCACCAGCCGTCCCTTGTCAAGGCTCGCTATCGGGCGCGCCCAGGGCTGCCACTCGTTATTAAGAGTCAAAAAAAATTATGAAAAATGTAATAGAAAAAAGTGAAAAAAGTGACCTATCGGCTTGGTCCTCTGGCTCTGCGTAGAGTTGTTGGATCACTCTGCATCTTCTACCGCATTTATCACGGGGAGTGTTCTGAGGAATTGTTTGGATTGATCCAGGCGGCTGAATTTCACCATCGGACATCGCGCCAGAACCAAAAATTTCTTCCACACCACCTCGATGTCCAACGTTCCACAACAGCGCGATTTTTAAGGCATTTCTTACCTCGCACAACCACTCTGTGGAACCAAATGCCGCCGGCGGTCTTTCCGAACCGTTGCGACCTGGGAACCTTCAAAAAGAGAGCATACTCTTTCTTGAAAGGCCGGCAACGCATTTGTAAGCCCTCTGGTGTTGCAGGTGTTCATGGGCGGCGGTAATCACTTACCATCAGGTGAGCCTCCTGCTGGTTTGCCCCTAAAAAAATATGACAGCACATACCTCAATGTTCCGCTGCTGGATTTAGACTTTCTCTGTGAAGTACCATACCAGCCATACATACCATACATTACGACACGCAGTACCAGGCTTCATTTATTAGCGAATTTTGCTTTCGTATTAGGTATGTGGCTATTCTCACAATGTTTACCATACCATACACATAGTAAATTATCATTTATAAGTAATTTTAATATAAATTCTCTTAGTCGTTACATAGGTATACTACTGTTTCATATACTATAATTTCTGAACTTGTATTGTGAATTGTTCAGAACTTATGTTCTGAACAATTCACAATACAAATTCAAAAAACAAGCAACTTTTCAGCAAACTTAGGTACTTACAAATTGTGGTCAATTATTTGAAAACTCGTTATATCGTTTTTTGTAAATTATAGCGTAGTTATTTGAAACTCTCCCAATTCAGCCCGGTCCTCATCGCTTCCAACCAACGATTAACAGTCGTCGGCCGTCGATTTCACGTCTCACGGACCTCGACGACACGCAGGTGACAATCCTCTTGTACCGCATGCGTACCCATATATGTACGCGACTCTGCTTAAGTAGGGTCTATCAACCACGTAAACGCCTCTCCGTGAGCTATGAGCCCGTTGAAGCTTAATTTAAGCTACTATTTAAATACATATTTTAAAGATTCAATTTACAGCTTAAAAATTATAAAATCATGAGCTGGCTGAAATTTTACAAAAGGAAGCAGTATCTAAACGTGTAACTAAAGTCATGTATTACGACGATCAGTGAGACGGTATTTTCTTTGGTTAAAAAAACAAATAATAGCAAACCGCCGCCAACCCTACGTGTGCGGATAACAGCAAGAAGGGGGAAGCGGCAGGGCGCGGGAGGCGGGGCGGAAGTGTCGTGCGTGCGATTTAATTCCATCGCCTCGGCCGGGACGGCGCGGCGGCTTGAGTGTGCTCGAGTGTAGGGCGGTGCCTCGGGTCATATCGATTTTTATTCATTATTCGTGCGATGTATACGGGCGTGAACTGTATATATCTAGTGTACAGCTGTGCGATAAGTGTATGCAACGTCGGGAACGTTTAAACGGGACACGATGTCGGTGAGATCTATCAAAATGAATTCATGTGATGTACGTTTCAAAAGAACCACTGTGTTTTGACACACAACAACCACTCACACATTATGGACTAGTGCGCTCGAACATCTGCTATCGTAAACGATAAGAAATGAAAAGGCAATGTTTATTTGGATTATTACGTAACGAATACTTCTAACGAAAAACAATACGTGTAATACGTTAATTCAAGAAAATTATTATCCAAAGTTTAATGTAATTAAAACACTAAAGAATACATAACACTATACATAACACTATACATAACACAATAATAAAACAGTTCATAGAAAACTTCAATGTAGGTACATACTTAATAATTATTTTTATACACATCTAAAAAGAACTAGTAAAATGTCGATATCGATATTGCGCTGCTGGAGCAACCCTCGTGAAAGGTAGAAGCGGGCGTCACAACGGGCTGGTCGTAAAATTGCGAGAGCAGGTGATTCTGTCGGCGGCGCGCTCTACACAGATGTACTCGTACCGGCTCCCGCCACTGACACGGAATCAGTCAGGGTTGTCCAAAGTAATAATTTATTTAGAGAATTAAATCATTTGTATTTTTTTTCAAAAGTGTTTATTGATAATACGCCATGTTTTAAGTGAATGTTCTTTATCAAATCTAATGATAGACATCATTTTAGACATTATGTTTCGTTTATTATAAAAAAAGCGTTGCTTTTAAAAAACTTTGAACGCTTACATAAAGGAGGAGATCTAGGAGTCATCTAAAGGAAAAGTGTTTAGAATCATTCATATTTATTTTAGTGTCATAAGGACAGAAAAAAATTTAAAAAATCACTTTAAAGAAATTACAAAGTAATCTAGGATTAGAAATATTATAAGTTTTAGTTATGTACTTAATGTCAAAGTGATATATTTATTTACTCTAATTTTCGAAATAATTACCTGTCGTATTGAATAAATACTTGCATTTGTTTATTTTCACATTTTATATTACTTGTCTGATGGTGATGATTAAAAGTTGAGTTAATCTAAGTCGCTCAATTTTGCCCTTTGCGTGAAGGTTTTTCTTCACGATATGTCTAAAAACAACTAAGCCCAAAGAAGAAACTGCACGGCTATAGCCAATCATAAACTTAAACATCGCTGTTTAAAAAAACATTATCCATCTAAATTAAAAAACGTCAATACATTTTTTAATTAAGTCTGGCTACTGCTAACCCGTACCCCGTAAACTCACTAACTCTCGAAACATCTCCATATCCACATACGGCTTATTACAGTTCAAATAAGATTTGTGGCTAAAATTAGATGAGTAGTAAATATTCGAAGGCTGGGGCAGCCCTAGCACGGCCGTAAACACGATATGTGCCTCCTACTTAGTGCCTAGCCGACTGGCGGGCGAGCGACCGCCGTGAAACTTCTGCTCTCCTGGTAGCGCTGGCTCATTGCACGAACACTTTCGCAGCTCCGCGAAATAAAATATACTATACTATACTACTATACTCTCTACCATCTTCTTATTTATTACTTCCGAAAGTTGTTTTACCGTTTGATAAAATAGACCTGTAAACTTGGTAATTTAACATTGAAACGGGCGCTGTAAAGTTTTAAAAGTAAACATAAAGTAGCCTATATATGTCACACTCTCCTCTGTACAGAGGAAGATATACATACTGTTACTCTGTACAGAAGAGCCGCGCTACTTCACACGAGGTATTCGAAATATTTTTTTGTTTTTATATCGAATACATGCAGGTTTTCTCAAGATGTTTTCCTTCACCGTTGAGAGTGTGATAAGTCAGCACTTGAAATTAACAATTTCATTGGTGCCGGCACCGGGGAGACCTCAGGATAATGAGCTATCACGGTATGATTGAATGAAAGAAGTGTTAGTGATCACGTGATACATCTGATGTTAAGTGACTACCGCCGCCCGTGGACATTCAAAACAATCGAAGGATTGTTGTGTTAGAATCCTCTAGGAAGGTATACCCCGCATATCTTACTACGGTAACGTTACCAGACAAATATCATAACCCTACCACCGTTAAATGTTAGTTATATTTTCACCTTATTTCGTGTACCTAAAAGACTTGAGATCGTATGTTGGCGTAAGGCGAACGTTACTCAACCGATCTGATGAAATTATCCGAGCCAATATATGCTCAACCACAGCCCCTGCTATATTTGCGTGTCAGTGTTTACTTTAACCGTCATGAACTGGTCTTGAGCAAATCAAGTATTTAGGTAACACCCACCTACACTTGTTAAATCTACTTATATAAGTAATACTGCATTCATTGTTTCTTATTCGCTCAAAATCGGATGGCATTTTGGCTAGACTCTTAAGCCCGATTTACATTGGTCAAGGACAGTGGTGAGTGGCGAGTACAAGTGGAGTAGCCAGCGGCCGGCACCGGAAAATTGGCTGTTTACACTACAGCCAGTACGGAGGCATTTCTCTATCGAAACGGACGGGCAATACGTGCAATTTTGTCGCCCGCCGCCGGCCACTGTACTAATTTGACTGTTACTACGACAAGTGACGAGTCGAGTGCCCCGCGGGGGTTAAGCGAAAAATAGAAAGCGATTCTATTTCGGTCAAGTAGCAAGGCAGCTTTCAAGCCAAGTTGACTCTCCACTGTCCGACGTTTTACACCACTGTACTAAACATTTGACCAGGGTAATTCGGGCTCTAGAGTCCATCGCTAATAATTAAATGATAACGCCTTTCGAATAAAAAACATGGCTATGACAAGATAATAAAAACTAACAAAGTATCAACTATATTCCTAAAACGTATTTCGTATTCTGAGATATTTTATTAGATCGAAGTTATATATGACATTTCATAATTGAATCATCATTACTTGCTATTGATTCTGCTGTGTTATAGTTTATTTAGTCTGTTTAAACTATAACGGAGAACAGTCGAGAAATGTTTACAAGCATCATATATCACATATCAATCATTGTCAATAAGCACAGCTCTTGGAATCCCACCAAAAGTGGTAAATATCAAATGCAAAAAGAAACACAGATAACTGATCTGGATCTTGGTTTTTATTCCGAAGGAGGGTTGACATGAAGCCGACACATTAAAAACATGATTGAAATGATCGTGACGTCGACCCTAACTGCATGGGATAAGGTCGGGAGAAAAAAATCATTCGTTTGGAATAATTTAATACGTAAAGAATAATCATATGATGCTTTGATCCCAAACGGGTTGACGGAGATTAAAACATAAAGAATGCTCATTCATCCCAAGTAGGTTGACGGGAACTCGAGATATATTCCCGCAGACAAAAACTCCTAGCCGATGTCACGAAAGACGCGTTCTCGCCGCGCCCAATACGAGGTCGAATGTCTCGTCTGCTGGTACCGATCGAGTTTCACAAGTGGCTGAGTCGCGGCGCCGCTAACGTGGTAGTGTTTGCTCTTACGCGAGCGTGCGACGTTATCTCAACACCAACATGGACCGGTCTTAGCAGCGGACGAAGGTAAACACGCGACTTGCGAATAGTTTCGGAAGCGAAGGTACTAAGATCGTTTTATGTGAAGGATGTGGCCGACAAGCGAGTGGCTTCTTACGATTGGCGTGGATAGTTAAGCTCTTGCGCCAGAGGGTGTTCGATACCCACTGCTGGAAATATATTTTATTTTTATTTTATCTTATTTGGTACATAGGACAGCAAACAGTACAATAATCTTAATAAATAAACCCAACCAGACGAGGAAACAAATGAATATCCCCCCAGAATCTTAATAATGGCAACTTATACACACTGTCCGCCAAAAATATATGTACACTACATGCTTCGGTATAATTAAACAATATTAAGGTATAAATTAAAAAACCAAAAGACAAAGGTATTGAAAGTAACTACTTAAATAAAAAGTAAAAAAATAAGAAAAAAAAAACATTATGTGCCTCGAATACTTCGTTTGAATGCACTCAGCTTCTGATGGAATATATCTACTGATTCATCAATGGTTGTAAGTTTGTTGTACAAGGAACACATTTTAGAGATAGGGATATTGTATGAACATAGCGTTTTGATAGTGTCTGTGTGTTTATTTATCTGTAATATGTACTTATTTACGAAGAAAAAGTATGTTTAAGTGTGTCTGATCGTGCTATAGGTACTTGGCTCCTTCTTCCGTTGGCGCTTCAACCCTTTGTGGGTCTTGGCCTTTTCTACAGCGGAGTTGGCTATTCTGCTTAATGTGGGACTCGTATTTTCCTAAAATCATATCAGGAAAATATTAGGTGCATCGTCGGTATGTGCAAGAAGACAAGGCTTTTTTTCAATACGTGCTGGTCGGGAATAACGCGGTAAAGAGATTTTTTTAAAGCCATCGTAAATTAGTATTGATTAGTTTAACATGCCTTGAAATTATTTGAAAATTTTGTCAAACACTTTCTACTAAGACTACAGCAACCCAGACAGATTCTTCCACATCAACTGCTTCGTTGATACAATAAAGAAAATATATCCATCTAAGTTTCGCGTACGAACGATAAATATCGACGAGCCCGCGCCCCATCACTAACTCCTAGTTTCGCTTCGGTTTAGATTGAAAGCGAACTGGCGAATGCACGCTTTATGGATATCGACATTCGAGTCGCGTGCCAGCACTGCGTCCGCTGAGAGCGCTCCCAAGCCGCGCGATGCGGGCCAGCGTCACGTAACCGATCGCGTAAAACGAGTCGATGCATCCGACTGAATATTCCGTTCGCCGGAGGAAACGCCGAGCGCCAGTATTAGTTTCGGCTCGCACACCCCGCGGAGCCGGATTTATCGAAAGTGTAGCGCGTGAATAGAAAGAACTCGGGTATATTATTTGGCACGAACGAAGTCTCAGTTTATATGAAAAGAGATTTAACCATGGTTGTTTTTTTTATGAGCGTTGGCATATGCAACACCCGTAGGGTTGCAGAGGCGTTGTCACGTTTTATTAAAGTGGTAAGATAGCTGCATCTCACTCACCAGACGAAAGGCAGATGTAAGACACTTCCACCTCACTCATATAAATACTTGTGCTTTACTACGTATTTACTTGTCGCGGTCGCTTCGTTTCTTCTTGCAACAGAAGAAGCTGTTCCCTGGCACTATTCTTCTTCTTATTTTCGCGTCAAAACTGCTATTAGGATCTCGATCGACCGGCATTTGGTCACATCCACGGCAGCGGAATTGGCCTCAAGCGGGTCCAGGAGGGACACAACGGACATAGCAGCAGATGGGCGTTTCATAGTTTGGACGTCACCACAGTGACATTTATTGTCGTTGGAGAAACCCCATTATTTAGTAAAGCCTTTCTTACTCTCCTTTTGTTAGAAGCGAGGGTGGAAAGATATTTTAATTAAATCCCTACCACTTCTCACAAAGCCTATTTTGATGTTTATTCTTCGTTTTATTTATTTTATTTCTTTCGTTCTTTTTATATAACGACTTTTAAGAATTTTTTAGTGACATCGTTGATTATTTATCAGTTTTACTTTATTAGGCCAGCTAACTGAAATATTTCTGGAAACTCCCCGTGTTGAAACATCAAATCCAGGAATAGCATAGTGAGCTACATTAGTTCCAATTCTGCCTTCCAACCTTGTCAATTACTGGAAGTCTAACTTCAGAGGCGGCCGCGCGGTGGTCCAAAAATAAATTTGGTGGGCTTATTTATCATCAATACTTTCATCCCAAACAAGAATCGTTTTGATTGTTTGTACCTTATTTATTTTCTGTGATATATGAATAATATTATTGATAGATTACCAAGAGTGCAGAAGTGCGCATTTCAATTAGATCCGAGCGAAAAAGCGGGTTGCACTAACAACTACGGACTACTATCGAAGCATCACATTGCGAAATGCTATTCGTTTACCGTCGTTAATTAAAACAGCGAAGCAAAGTTCGCGTATACAAAAGCCGTCGCCCCGTCGCGTCGCATTGCACAGAGCAGGTAGAGTAGACTGTGCAAGTTCGGCGCGGGCGGGTGGGGAATTAGTGGCGGCGGCGATGTATACGGACAAGGCGGGATGTTACGCAACGGGCGATAAATCGACGCGCCGACCTCGCGCTGCAAGTAGCTCTCGGCGCTAATGACGCGCTTGTCGCCGCACCGCTCCCGCCATTTTCAACGTTCCCGCCATTTTCGCACCGATACCACCTCTGCCGCGCTGCCGTAAAACCCCGCCAGATGTACGATACGACTGGACGCGACATTTTGTTTATGGTTTTTTTTTTTTGAGAGCCTTTAAAAAGTTTGGGTTAATTTTTTATTTCGCTGTGTGTTCTCGCACGTTTTTATAGATATGTTTTCTTGGTTTTTCGTCAGTTTTTTTTTATAACTTCCAGATGAACTAGGGATTTGAAACTTAAAAAAATCATAATTGGAGGATATTGCAACAAAGATTTGTTTTTTTTTCTTTCATAAGGAAAATATGGGTAGAGTTCCCCGCAGAATTTTACCTATTCCTAACTTCATATTATTTTTTCCATATGGAAATGTGCTACATTAATTATTATTTTTTTGCTCTATGAGTCTATCTATTTTTATCATTCAGGTTCGAATATCGCAGCGTCGAAAGCTCCCGAAAACTAAAAATATATGAAAAATAAAAGTGTGTGTTTTTATAGAAAGAACTTTGAAAAATATATGCTTAGAAACTTTTTATACCTAAAATGAGAGGACGAAACCTAAATATCTCCAGTTTAGTAATTCGTGACGTATCTGATCTTTAATCAAGTCGACAGTTAAAGCCGAATTTCCTATAAAATAGTAATCAATTGCAATTAAACTGCCGTCACCAGCTTCAATGAATTTCCCAGAGTTCAATAAGTAGAGTTCACTCTACTGGACGACGTTCCTTTTGGATCGGGGTGAAGATATCTACGTCAGCGTCGTAGGAACAATGAGCCTCGTGTCGGGATGAATAAGCCTCGTTCAAGCGGAAGGGCCGCGTCGGCGTCATTTTCATTTATTCTAGTTCGCGGCAACTCGCGGCGTTTTATTTAATTCCCGCAATTACGACGGCAGCTATTGCATTGCGATGAAGCTCTGGTGGATGTTCCTGATGGATCTCAGTTTTAGTTTTATTCGCTGCTCTGCGAAGTGGAAAGCTGCTAAATGTTTCATCTCCAACGGAGTTTTATTGCACCTACTCTAATATGTATAATCTACTCTGTAGTAGGTACTCTTTCTTATATTATTATGGCGGATGACGAGGTAGACGCAGTTGCTTAGCAACGGACCTTATGTCTAATTGTATGATATACAGATAACTACTAACTATAATTTAAAGTCGACGAGTTTAATATAAAATATAAATTTTGTAGCTATTTTACTTTGGAATTTAGGCATTTGTCTCCTAGTGGTGAGTAGTAGCTGTAAATTTATTCATTTATCCAGTGAAGTGTTATTACTGAGTCTTTGAATTTAATTAATGAACAAATAAACGTAATTGGAATATTTTTGTGCCAGTCATTAATTTACGAACGAAATAATTTGATATCTCTTTAACTTCTTCTAACTCTCGTTCGTTCTCGCACCGAATTCAACGAGTACACGGAGTCACCAAATTTATCTACCAGGAACGCAGCATAGTTAGGGGGCTCATTACGGTTTTTCCGTTGCTCCATTTAGCCCGCGATTAATCAAGTGAGCGAGCCGACCGATGACGGTATGGACAAAAAAACCGTTTCCCTGCGGTCCTAGGTGTGGGAGCATAAAAACCGGCCTCCGACGTCACTCGGCCGGCCGCGCTACCAGACGGCCATAAATTAGAGGCGGCGGTCGGTAATTGCAGCGGGCGCGCCAGTAACCGCCGGGGGCGGGCCGGCGCGTTAGCGCACGCGATGTTTGCGGCGTTCGCGTCGCGGCGGGAAACGCGGGAAACCGAATCGAGTATGCCCGATTTGAATGCTCCGAAATTCGAATTAGGAACGGTCGCCCGCCTGTCCGATTAATTATTTCTTAATTTATTATGGCATAGTATAAATTGTTACAGATTAATATAAAAAATATTTTAAAAAAACTAAAAGAACAAAAGTGACGACTTACAAATACTTTACACCGAGGCTGACCAGCACCACTTGGAAATAATAAAACCTTTTTTAATACGACTTTAGAACTATAGGAGCGAATACTAGGAGAGAAGTAAATTGTTGCTTCATTGTACACATTTAAAATGATGTGGAGAACTCTTTATTTTGTAGGAGTCATTAGTTGCCATACCTTCTTAATAATAAAGCAATAAAAATGATTACCACGAGAATTTATCAGATAACGAACGGCCCACGGGTTTGGGCCCTCCCCACAGCGGAGGGCCCAAACCCGTGGGTTCTGGCTAGCCCACCGGTTCCGCGTCAGATGAAGCTTTAATAGTCTCGGGACTGAAAGCACAAACATCAGTTAATACAAGATACACCCGATTTGTAAAGACTTCGCATGTAGCGATATTCCGCGTACCGTCAACGCTACCTTGATGTGTATATTTTCAAATGATAATCACTCGGTTTCAATTTCATTTTTTGCCTATGTAGTATTATTATTTATTTGAAAAAGAGGCAGTTGGTGAATCCAACTGTCTCTTTTTTAAATAAGTTATAGTAATGACACTCTTAAAATAGCTTACCCATTTTAAGAGCGCGTCATTAATTAAGGCAAAAATTTAAACCTTCTATTACGTTTTTAATCACGCAAATAGTCTGACTAAAATTAATAATTTTCAAGCTTACGGAAATCCGGTAAACCGGTAAACAATGATTTCTCTAGGATATTCGACACATGAAGTGTTTTAAGTTTTATTAAGAACTAGCTCTTCGCCCGCAGCTTCGCTCGCCTTGAAACCCTTAAATACTCGTAAATATCTTTCTTTAAAAACTATATGTATTTTTTAAACAAATATATTTTCAACCCTTTACAACACTTTTCCCAATAAAAAATAGCCTATATCCTTTCTCAGGCTCTAGACTATCTGTGTACCTTTCAATCGGTTCAGTAGTTTTGGCGTGAAAGCGAGACAGACAGACAGAATTACTTTCGCATTTATAATATTAGTGCGGAAGTATTGATTAAAAATATATAAAACTTTTAACCTGATCCGTTCGTAACCAGAACTTTTGAATGTTTCATTCTTGATCCTAAAAGGCGCGCCTGTTCAGTATTCCACGGGCAGCCGAGACAATACGGCATCGGTGGCAGTTCCAAATCGCAACGGGGCTTCATTGTCGCTAGCGTCGCGTCGAACCCGTCCCCGCTGGGACATAAAGTCGTCCGTAACAACGCGTCGTAAAACCGATGCGCGACCGCATGCGAGCGCCGCCGTTCCCGCCATAAATAACGCGTATAAAGACATTCTCGCGCGACGCGTATACCGCGCACTCTGATGGTAGCGAAAAAACTATTCCGCCGTAGGTACGTATCGTGTATCAGTAATACACGAACGCATTCAGTGTCCCCAGTAGGAAGACTAAAAGCATGTGCGGAAAAAAATTCGTGACTTCTCCGTATCGGGCCAAATTTACTAAAGTACGCGTAATTATACGTTTTTATGTTCATATACTCACATGAACATTATTCATTAAAAAACCGCTGTACTGGCTTTGATAATTTCTAAATTTGGTGTTTAATAATTTGTATAAAACCCGTATTCACCACAATAATGTTCACCACAAAAATAATATTCAGACTAGAAAACTGAATATATTTATTTATACTATTGAAATTTATAAATATTGAACCTTCTATAACAGATTTGTAACACAGAATTCGTTAGCAATAAATACCGAATAATGATTTTTTTAAAAGACTTATTAATATTTTTATGTTTTACTTTGTAATTTGAAAAAATACGAATATGATTAATTATAATATGAAAAGAATAACTGAATATTAAATAAATTTCACACTTCACTAGTAAGTAATATAGTATCTAAACAGCGCATAAAGGAAAATAGGAAATTTTTATCTCTACCTCACTAGGTGAGTTGCTTTATAAATACGTACATACATACATGAAATTACGTATAAAATCGGTATCTTAAAAAAACCTTTTAGATACTTAATTTTATAGATCGATGCAATTTTGCACCAGGAGCGCATATGCTGTAGACGCGAGGCGATCGAAAAACGAAGCGGATGACGTCACGGCGCCCGCCAAATTACGGCCCCGACTTGATAACAAGCTAAACTGAGCACTTATCGTTCCGGGACGCGCGAATGAATCAATCAATCAGCGTGGGCGGGGGATGGGGGATTGGGGGGGCGGTAATGAGCGAGGCGTCTAGCGTCGGGATGGCGAAAATGGCGGGAACTCCATTACGACATAACGGCGTGGGCGTAGACTGTAGACGGCTCGAGACTCGGGGATTTTCGCCCTGCATGTTGGCAATCAGCGTGATAATGTCCCCGCCGTGACACCAGTCGACGCAGCTTCCACGCTCCGCATTTTTAATTTATTAAGAGCGGTAAATATTTTACAGCTTTGTTTTCGTCAACTGAGTTTGTCAGTTTTACGTTAGAAGAACTTTGAGGAATACTTTTTATCTCTTTTTAGCTAAGAACTTATTTTTATATTAACACAACTAGCAGGCTAAATTTAAATAATAACGTTACCTTAATATGGATGACTATTTTAGGCGCTAATAGTATTAGCTTAATATTTTTAGTTTTAAATTTAATTGTTGAAACCAAGTGAAATTGAAATTCTCGCCAAATAGACCTGAAGCATCGATTTCTCATGGCACTTGCGTCGGAGCGTCTGTATTTTTCTCAAGCGTATACCTTAATATACACACTTTGTTTTTATGCGAGAAAATGGCAGGCGAGCAGGCGGTACATAGGGTGTTGAGTGATTACCGCCGCCCACAGGGATCAACCACACCTGTGGGGCTGGAGACGCGCTGCCAACCTTTAATTTATAAGCCCCATTTACCCCAATCACCACACGAAACGAGAAGCACAATCAAAACCATCGTCTTTTGTTGCTGAGACCTTGATACTCTGAACAAATTTATGAAAATAAATGAAACGAGAATAAAAAATGAACATATTTTGATGTTAAAATTTAATAATATATTTAAGATTAAAGCAAAATAATATCACCTCAAAGTTAGAAACAGGCGACTTTATAAATAGGTATATACGGCGCGTAATTCAACATTTTACTTAATCTGTCAGACGTGCCACAGGCTAAAAATATTAAATTAAGCCAAAACGCCCGCCGCGTCTGGGGAGCCGATGATTAAAAATTACTCATTAATTTCAGCGCCGACCGCCGCCGGGCCGCGTTTATGAGCGCGGTAAATTAAAAACCGGTAAAAGTATATGCCCTATTAGCCGGCTATCGGGCGAATCGGGAGGGCTGGATCAGCGCTAATGCTTTAATAATGCCACTGCGAACTTTTGCCCAGGCCTTTGACCGGCAAATTCGGCCGGAAAGCGTCGATACGGGAATATTTTAAAAGTGCCTACCTGAATGCGTTCCAATGCTGTGGTGTAAAAGCTTCATTGTGAATTTACCGTATTATTAAATTTTTTAGCATTTAAACCTGTACAAATTTTACAAAGTTATCTAGCTATGGAAATTTTTAGCCCCTTTAAAATGTGGCCAAATTTTTTTTATAGATACAATATACAATTTGCTCCGAGAAGTTACAGTAAATTCCAAATATTTATTTTTTGCCTTTTGTTTAAGTCTTGTATTTTTGCTTAAAATAAATTTAAAATAAATATGAAATGTTTCATTACAGTCACGAAACCTTATATTATCAGTCATATTTTTTTTAGAAGTAAAAATATATTGACGCGATGTTTCCAATATAATTTGAAGTTTTAATTGTATATTTCCAAGGTCCCAATTGTTAACACGGTTTCGGTTCTGTGCCTCGTTAACGATGTCAGCATAGGAATTAATTGGTGCCGCCGCTTTTTCATTAATATGCCCTTAATTTTGAAATTATCAATAAACCAAAAAATTTTAATAAGTAAGTAGATAAAGTATTTAATATTTAAATCACATAATCATTGAGAGATATATATGTGTATTAATAAAAAGTTTCTTAAATTAAATGGGTATGTTATATTGATATGATGATGTTTGTTTTATACAAGCAAAACCTTATATAGGTAGGGTACATCATACATGGTTCGAAAACACACACACATGTACTACCTCAGAACAAAAGATTGTAAGAACGCAGCGGCCGCACTACCAGGAACTCATAAACAAGGAAGGGCGGAGATATGTGGTCCATCGAAGTTCCAACGACAAAACCGAACACGACCCGAACAATCGTCCCTAGGGAGCATTATTTAAAATGTCTACGCGGTGGATTTCCCGAATTAGGGTCGGAGGGATAAGTGGCTGGGAAAAATTAGGGGGCGACGTATCAAGAAGCGCGCGTCCCGGTTTACGGTGTTTAGGAGTGCGCTCGCTACCCCACCGTAATCTTCTCGACGACTTTTTCCGATAGCTCCGGGTAGCATTCTTAACAACCGTATTTTTCTCCGGCTTAAGTTTTACATAGAGACTGAAATATGTATTTCGTGTGTACCAGGGGCTAAGGAGTACTGATCACTGGAAACACGTTCGTTAAAAGACGGATCTCTTACATACATTAAAGAATTTTTTAGTGATTTTTCGAGAGAAAATTTGTTAGTTGCCGAGCAAGGACATGGGATGATTCCCACTATTTTGGTTCTTCAGCTTGGTACTGTAATTCTTCTAGGATTCAATTTGTTATTATGATATTTTTTCCACCTTTATGTGCTATATTTTCAAGTTGAAATGGTTGAGTGCATTGCTTGATTAATATGCAAAGAATATCGAAGCAAACCCACGACACAAGTCAATTAAGGGTAGTTACTTATGTACTTTATGTTCGCACATACACAACGGCATTCCCGAAACTATGAAATTGCAGCTGTAGATGAACTTTGCAATTTGTTTCTGTTTATCCGG